AGAGAGGGAGACGGATCAGCAACTCAAAATGAGAGACAGCGAGCGTCGATGGAAAGAGACGAAGAGAGCGAGAGAGAGAGAGCGGCACGGGAAGAGTTTGCAAGACCGCTTCGCCATTGTGTTAGATGGGAGCTGGGGGGGGGGGGAGAGCGTCAAGGGAGAGTTGACCCCGGCGTGTGTGACTGTGTGTGCATGGGAAAGGCGAGGTGAGTGTGGGGGTGGGGGAGAAGGAGGCAGCAGTGGCCCCAGGAGGAGGAGGGAGCCGCGGCACGAGCGAGAGGGAGGAGGAGGAGGAAGGGAGAGCGGTGGGGGAGCAGGAAGAGAGCGCGGGGGATCTGTGAACCGGGGGAAGAGGTTTTTTTTTTTGCACAAGCCGAGAGAGAGAGAGCGGTGCACGGAGAGAGATCAGCGTGAGTACAGGCTCACCATCACCCCGCATTTCGCGCACACACACACGCGCGTACACACACACGCGTACACGTGTGTGTACACGCGCGCGCGCACACGTGTGCGTACGTACACGTGTGTACACAGGCGCTCGTCACTGCGAGACTCCTCCATCCGAGGAGGAGGAGGAAGAGGAGGTGGTGGACACTGAGAGTCGAGGCGATGCCAGGCCTGTACGGGCCTTGCTGTGTGTGGCTGTACGTGTGTGTGTGTCTGTCTGTGCGAGCGTTTGTTTGTCGGATGGAGCGGTGGATCGACGATTAGGGCGCCCTGTGACTGAACCCTCCCCCGAGTGCAATTCCCGTGCGCCGCTAGCGACGACCGTGGCACGAGTGATGTCTGTGACCGGTCCCTTTTTTATGGGCGTTGATCCGTCTAGGTAGACTCAGCATTAACAAAAAAAAAGTGGTAGCAGTGGGAAGACAAAGACGACCGCGTCGGTGATGGTTACCCCCCCCACCCCCCTCTCTCTCTTCGTTCCCCGTGCCGGCTTTAACATGTGTTCGCTAACACCGCTTGCTCCAACAGTCTGTTAAAGGCCACACGTGGGGGCGGGTTCGTTGTCTTTGTGTGCGGCGCACGTGTAGCATGCTGGGTGTGTACACGTGCGTGTGTGTGTGTGTTGACTCTGCCTTAAATGAGTGCCTGGCGCGGTGTGTAAACATCCCCACTGGGGATACAAAGCCGGCTGGTAACACAACCCCTTCGTGTCTGCATAGGTGCTCGCTAACAGCACTTGCCCTAAACGTCTGTTAAGGCTATACGTGGGATCTTTGTCTTTGTATACACATTTAGCATGCATGTAAAAAAGTGTGTGTATGCATCGTGCGTGCGTGTGGTTGCTGGGTATGTGTGTCGGTACTCATTAAAGTCATCACGACGTGTGTCAGCACGTGTGTGTATGTAGCGGTTTTGGGGAGCGGTGGTGTAGCGGTTAGCGCTACGAACCCGGCGCACCGAGGGTTCGATTCCCGCTCACGGCCACCAACACCACCACCAGTGACGATGATCTGAACCGGTCCTCGGCTTGCCCTTGGTCGACTCAGCCTCAAACGAGTACTCGGTGCCTTTCGGCCTTCATAGGTGCTCGCTCACAGCACTTGCCACACACAAAGAATGTTACGCCTATCTGCGTACTTGTTTGCATCTACAAGCAGGCAAAGGCGCAGCCCTGCAATTGCAGACCCCCCCCCCCCCCACTGTCGGGGAGTAATTTGGCCTCCTCTTCCACGATGGCCGGACCTCTTGGAAGCCATGGAGGAAGTCACCAACAGTAGTCTTGAAAGTAAAATATGTAAATATGTATAACAGACGACGTTTCGCGGTAATGGTCCTACTTCATCAGTACTGTACATGCGCTTAGTGGCGCTGTGTACAAGGTCCGTTGCACGAAACGTCGACTGCCCACACTTTACCCCACCGCTGGCGACGTATCGACTCCTGCTGAGGGCTTAACCCTTGCACCCTGCTGGGTGCACAGAGCCGGGGGGAGGTGCGGGTGGAGGAGGGGGAGGGAGAGCGGATTTAAGATTTAAGAAACTCTTCGAACTGGGCCAGTCGAACGTGTGCAGTTGACCATTCACACCGCAGCTGCAATGAAATACACAGATTGTTACAACGTCCAGCAGCAGCAGCAGCATACCCCTCCAGCACCCAAACACCCTGGACCGGTTTCGACTTTACGGGTCTCCATCAGCATTTGCATCTCCGATGAGCAACGTTTGACTACGTAGGGAGCGAAAGAAGGTCAAACATACATACACGCAGGCTGTGGGCAGCAGCAGCTGTGCGTGTGGTTCTTTTGGCTCTCAGGCAACGTGCCGAGTTGTTTATGGCCAAGCTACGCGCACAAGGTGTGTGCCTGTCTCTGTGTTTGTGTGCGTGGGGAGTGGTGGTGCCGCGGTTAGCGCGCTGCGCTACGAACCCGGTGACCCGAGTCGTATTATCTGAAGCGTTCCTGGGCCTCTCCTAGGTCGACTCGGCCTCAAATCAGTACCTGCTGCGGTGTGTAAATGATCGCCACTAAAGCGACAAAGGCGGCCGGGTGTGGTGTTGGCCACCCACCCCCTCGCCCCGGCCTTCAGTGGCGCTCGCTAAGAGCACTTGCCCCAGCGGTATGTTAACGCTATCAGGGTGATCTCTATCTTTGCGGATATGTGTCCATGTTTCTGACGATGACGATCTATCATCCGCCGCTACTTAAAAAAAAACTAAATGAGATGTGCAGGTCGAGTATGCTACGTGGAACGCTCGGGGCGGGGGGGGTCAACAGCACGGTGCAGAGACACGAGTGCCTGTGCCGTGCTGATGAGCACGAATGAGAACGAAACAGGCCCACAATGCCGCAGCTGCTGCTGTCGTCACGTGGTCACAGTTGCCCATTCATTTCGATGGCGGCCTCGGACTTGGTGACGACAATGCACACATTCAGGAAGTGCGACTACACGTGAGGCTAAACCACTGCGGTGTTGAAAGGAAACGCATATTTAATAGGCGACGTTTCGGGCAATGCTCCTTCATAGGACAGAAGCTGAGGGAGGATAATAAAAATAACTTGCACCGTTTTTTTTACTGCCTCGCCGGGAGATAGAAATCGACCCTGTGACCTCTGAAGAGCGATACTATGAAGCGAGCATTCTTATCTAGAGCAACACTTGTGTGTGTGTTTTATCTTGCTTGGCCAAAACCTTCAAAGCCACCACGCCGAGGAATGTGTGAAGGAAGAAGTTTCCCATATCTGCGAATCGCACAAACACAAAGATCCCGCCCGCATAGCCTTTACCTGACTCGTGGGTCAAGTGCTGTTTGCGACCGCTTCAAATATGCGCCGCTGTTATCGGGTAGCGCGGTCCGCTCACCGTCGTTCCACGCTCGCACAAAACCCACGTGCATCCTCCTCTTCTCTCAACCATCACGGCCTCGTGACAGCTGACATGCAAAGTGACCAATCCAGCGGTGACACGTCGAGACGTACAAATAAAATGAAAAACCACCGTGCTTTTAACACATCGACCGACTCAATCTCGAGCGCAGCGTTCTCCACTTATTTTCACGCAGAGAGAGGGGGCAGGGACGGGGGGAGGGTGGGAATGTGGGCCGATAAGACATCAGATCAGTGAGAGGGCCGCCACACATTTTTAACCATTGGGAGATTTTTTTTTCCAGCAGCATGATGATGATGATGGGGGGGTGGGGGGGGGGGGGTGTCACGTGTTGTGGATTGTCGGGGACCGCACGCCAGGAGGCGCACTAAAGGCCGCCAGGGGCCGACAGGAGCCCGAGGGGCCTTGCGACGGAGACCGCTGCCCCAGCGCCTCTGCACGGCCTCTCCGGGCGCGTTCACCTCCTTTGGCTGCCACTCCCTCCCCACTCCTCCGGCTGGCCCTGCCGCGTCCAGCCCGAGCCGTCGCTCTTCTTGACGTCCCCGGGACACTTCCCGTCCGTCCCACGTGGCGCGCCGCCTCCTCCTCCTCCTGAGCAGCGCGGCTCTCACCTCTCACGCGTCCCATCTCTCTATCTGCTACTCCCCTTGTCTTTTGCCCACTCGAGCGGCAAGAAAAAAACAAACGATTAAATACGAAGCCAAACGACGCCTCTTCCAGAGAGATCATCATCATAAAAACAAGCGAGGTCACAATTGGTCCGTTTCCAAAATTGTCCACGCCTTTGTCCACCGCTCTCGACTCTGGGGAAGATCTCGAGACAATGGCCTGAACCGTCGCGCAGACCTGGAGGCTTTAGAAATGTTCCCAACGCAGTCTCCGGAACGACAGAAGCTCACGCCTTTGGTTTGCGCTAAAAAATTAAAAAAAACCCCCAGGCAATAGCGGAACTCCGTTCTCGTGTCTCCACGTGTACGAGGTAAAGGCGCAGCCCCGCAATTGCTTGCAAACGCCACTGCTGTCGTCGGAGTGACCTCCACTCGAGGGAAGTCTTGATTAATAATCTGACTCGCCATACTTGTCGATGTCGTGTGCGGTGGGGTAAAGTGTGGGGGGTCCTCCCAAATCTTCCAAGACGTCTGGGGACAGCGTGGAAGAGTAGGCCAAGAGGGGGCTCTCTGTGCAGATCCTTCCGGTGGGAGTCGTCGAGTTGATTTTGCTCAACCAGGTGAGAACTCGAGTGACCAGGATGAGCCGACGTTACCACAGCAGTGACCTGGTTGGGGCAGGCGTCTATCGCCAGTAGGGGGGGGGGTGATCGCTGATGAGCGTCGTCTCACAACGGCACTCCTCTTGCCAATTGGGTCACGGAATCTGTTAACCTCCACTGTGAGCGTAGCAGACCTGGTGCGGAATGTTACCTTCGTCACTACACTCGCAGTATTAGCCAGGGCGTCTGCTGGCTTCGAACCGCGCACATCTGCGCCAACAAAACGGCGATACGCGCTAAGGCTGGAACCACGCCACTGCCGGGCTGCGCCTCTACCTTTAATTCTGCGTGTTGACGACTCCCACTGATGATGGTTGCTCCATCTCTATCCATACTCCCTGTTCACAGAGGTGGTGGTGGTGGAGAAGGAGGCGGCGGAGGAGGAGGAGGCGGAGGAGGAGGAGGAGAGTGTAAAGGGAGAGCGAAGGAGAGAGGAGGGAGAGGAGGAGAAGGAGGAGGAGAAGGAGGAGGAGAAGGAGGAGGAGAGAGAGGAGAGATAAGAGGGAGACGGGATGCGAGCCTCGACTGCCAGCTCAGCATCCAGGGTACGCGACGGGCGATCGTAAACAACAACAACACGTTCCATTCAACACGTTCCATTCAACACGTTCCATTCAACACGTTCCATTCAACACGCGCAAGCTCGACTCCACTCTGCCTTGTTGGTCGCTATTGGACTACAACGACGTCTGGCCAGGTCTCACGGAGTCTCACGCGACCCGTATAATCAATCGAGTCGTCATCGTCGTTTGTTCTCATGACGAACTGATTTGAATTCGCCTGGCGCACAGTGCGGGGATCTCGCACGGGGTCCTCTGCCGAGAGAAAGTGGCCACGCGCCGCGCACGTTCTGGGCTTTGACGCCACAGTATTGAGGAGGGCGGCCGCTGGAGTTCGCGAAGCTCGCCGCCACAAGCCGACGTGTGTGTGAGTGTGAGTATGTGTGAGTGTGTGTGAGTGTGTGAGTGAGTGTGTGAGTGTGTGAATGTGTGTGTGTGTGAGTGTGTGTGTGAGTGTGTGTAGCTGTTAGCGAACCCGGCGACCCTGGTTCGATTCCCGCTCACGGCCAACGCCAGTGACGATTCTCTGAACCGGTCATGGGCCTCCCCGAGGTTGACTCAGCCTCAAATGAGTACCTGGTGCTGTGTGTAAACATCGCCACCGGGGAGACAAAGGCGGCCGGGCGTGGTTGCGGACCTAACACTAACCCCCTCAATGTGCCGTGCCGGCCTTCACAGGTGCAGAGAACGCGCGCACTGTGACACCCACACAGTCGATGATGCAATCACACTCGCTCACACAAAGACAAAGGCTACAGACTGTTGGGGCAAGTGCTGTTAGGGAACTGCACCTACGATGGGTTACCACGACACACGATTGGGGTGGTCAGCCCTAGGTAGTCACTCAAGTCCGAGCCCAGGAGGAGGTTAAATATTTAAATATTCACGCCTGCTAATGGGGGTGAGCGCAACACAATCACACAACAAAGACAAAGATCCCCCGCATAGCCTGTAACAGACTGTTGGGGCAAGTGCTGTTAGAGAGCACCTATGAAGGCCGGCACGGCAAACACCACGCCCAGCCGCCTTTGTCTCCCTCATGGCGATGTTTACACATTGTACCAGGTACTCATTTGAAACCTAGGGGAGGCCCAGGAGCGGTTAAGATCGCTGCTGCTGCCAGGACCGGTTTAGATAATCGTCACTGATGTTGGCCGTGAGCGGGAATCGAACCCGGGTCGCGGGTTCATAGCGCAGCGCGCAAACCGCTACACTACCGCTCCCCACACTCACACCCACACGCTCACGTACATTCACTCACACACACATGCTCACGTACATTCACACCCACACACACCCACACGCTCACGTACATTCACACACACCCACACGCTCACGTACATTCACACCCACACGCTCACGTGCATTCACTCACACACACACCCACACGCTCACGTACATTCACACCCACACACTCACACACACACACCCATACGCTCACGTACATTCACACCCACACACTCACACACACACGCTCACGTACATTCACACCCACACACACCCACACGCTGACCCGCACACTTCACGCACGCTCACAAAGGACCCTCGCGTTTTGCTGGTGACTCAAAGAGAGAGGGGGAGGGAGAATGCTGAGCCACAGAACAAAGGAGTCGGAGGTTTTGCTAGATCCAGCCACACTCACACACTCACACACTGTGTGAGTGTGTGCGTGTGTGTGGCGTGTGTGTGGCGTGTGCGCGTGTGTGCGGCGTGTGTGAGTGTGTGTGCGCGTGTGTGAGTGTGTGTGCGTGTGTGTGCGTGTGTGAGTGTGTGCGTGTGTAAGTGTGTGCGAGTGTGAGTGTGTGAGTGTGTGTGTGCGTGTGTGAGTGTGTGCGTGTGTGAGTGTGTGCGTGTGTGAGTGTGGTGCGAGTGGTGTGTGGTGAGTGTGTGCATATGTATTTAAGTCAGTGTGTGTGGGGAGCGGTGGTGCAGTGGTTAGCGCTACGCTGAGCTACGAACCCGGCGATCCGAGTTCGATTCCCGCTCACGGACCACCAACAGGACCAATGACGATTTTCTGAACCGGTCCCGAGCCACCGGGGAGACAAAGGCGGCCGGGCGTGGTGCTGGCCACCCACCCCCTCGTGTGCCGTGCCGGCCTTTATTTGCCCCAACAGTCTGTTCAGGCTACACGGGGGATCTTTGTCTTTGTGTGAAAATGGGGGAAGAGCGGTGGCGTCGTGGTTAGCGCGCTGCAAGTTCCATTCTCTCCCCACGACGCAAAAAAACCAGTGGCGAATCCTGTATAAGAACCCGTCCTGGGCCTGCCCCTAGGTCGACTCAGCCTGAAGCCAAGAGGGGTTTTGTGCGAATGCCAGGGGGGTTCAGCGAGTGGTGTAACAACAGAGCGCGAGAACCACGGGCCCATGGCAACCACCACCCTCACCACACCACGGCCCCCACGCACTCTCACACACAGTCTCACACTCTCTCACACTCTCACACTCACTCACACACACTCTCTGTCTCACACTCTCTCACACTCGCTCACACTCTCTCACACACTCGCTCACACTCTCTCACACACTCGCTCACACTCTCTCACACACTCTCTCACACTCTCTCACTCTCTCACACTCTCACACACACTCTCTCACACACTCTCACACACACACTCTCTCACACACTCTCACACACAAACTCTCACACACAGTCTCACACTCTCTCACACTCTCTCACACTCTCACACTCACTCACACACACTCTCTGTCTCACACTCTCTCACACACTCTCACACTCACTCACACACACTCTCTGTCTCACACTCTCTCACACTCTCTCACATACAATCTCTCACTCTCTCACACACTCACACTCACACACACTCTCTCACACTCTCACACTCACTCACACACACTCTCACAGTCTCACACTCTCTCACACTCTCTCACACTCTCACACTCACTCACACACACTCTCTGTCTCACACTCTCTCACACTCTCTCACATACACTCTCTCACACTCTCACACACTCACACACTCTCTGTCTCACACACTCTCACACTCTCTCACATACACTCTCTGTCTCACACTCTCTCACACTCTCTCACACACTGTCTCACACTCTCTCACACTCTCTCACACTCTCACAGTCTCACACTCTCTCACACTCTCTCACACATCTCACACTCACTCACACACACTCTCTGTCTCACACTCTCTCACATACACTCTCTCACACTCTCACACACTCACACACTCTCTCACAAACTCTCTCACACACACACACACTGTCTCACACTCTCACACACTCTCTCACACTCTCTCACACTCTCACACTCACACACACTCTCTCACACTCACACACACTCTCTCTCACACTCACACACACTCACACACTCTCTCACACTCACACACACTCACACACTCACACTCTCTCACACTCTCACACTCACTCACACTCTCTGTCTCACACTCTCTCACACTCTCTCACACTCTCTCACACTCTCACACTCACTCACACTCTCTCACAAACTCTCTCACACACACACTCTCTCACTCTCTCACACACACACACTCTCTCACACACTCTTTCACACTCTCTCACACTCTCTCACACTCTCACACACACTCACTCACACACACTCTCACACACACTCTCACACACTCACACTCTCTCACACACACACTCACACACACTCTCTCACTCTCTCTCTCTCGTTCTATTTGTTGCTCTCTCTCTCTCCGTCTCATTGACCCCACCTTTCTCTCTGCTCACCAGCTGATAAAGTTCGTATTTTTTAAAAATAATAATATCATAATCATCGTGATGATGATGGTGATGAAACTCGTACAATGGAACGACCCCAAAAGGCAATTTACTGACTTGATGTTAAACGGCGTCACGCGGGCAGTGCCGCGTGTCGACAGTCGACAACAACCACCAGAACTACTACTACATCACAACAACCACCACCACCACGCCACAACAACCACCACCACAACACAACAACCACCACCACAACAACCATCACCACAACAACCACCACAACAACCACCACCACCACGCCACAACAACCACCACCACGCCACAACCACCACCACAACAACCACCACAACAACCACCACAACAACTACTACATCACAACAACCACCACCACAACCATCACCACAACAACCACCACCACGCCACAACAACCACCACCACGCCACAACCACCACCACAACAACCACCACCACGCTACAACAACCACCACAACAACCACCACCACAACAACCACCACCACCACGCCACAACAACCACCACAACCACCACTACATCACAACAACCACCACCACACCACGCCACCACCACGCCACAACAACAACCACCACCACGCCACAACCACCACAACAACCACCACCACGCCACAACCACCACTACATCACAACAACAACCACCACTACATCACAACAACCACCACTACATCACAACAACCACCACCACACCACAACAACCACCACCACCACGCCACAACCACCACAACAACAACCACCACCACGCCACAACAACCACCACCACGCCACAACCACCGCCACCACAACCACCACCACCACGCCACAACAACCACCACCACCACGCCACAACAACAACCACCACCACAACAACCACCACCACGCCACAACAACAACCACCACCACGCCACAACCACGCCACAACCAGCACCACCACCACCACCACCACGCCACAACCACCACCACCACGCCACAACAACCACTACCACGCCACAACCACCACCACGCCACAACCACCACCACCACCACGCCACAACCACCACCACGCCACAACCACCACCACCATGCCACAACAACCACCACCACCACGCCACAACCACCACCACGCCACAACCACGCCACAACCACCACCACCACGCCACAACCACCACCACCACCACCACCACGCCACAACAACCACCACAACCACGCAACAACCACCACCACGCCACAACCACCACCACCACGCCACAACCACCACCACCACCACGCCACAACCACTACCACCACCACGCCACAACCACCACCACCACGCCACAACCACCACCACCACCACCACGCCACAACAACCACCACAACCACGCCACAACCACCACCACGCCACAACCACCACCACCATGCCACAACCACCACCAGCACGCCACAACAACCACCACCACGCCCCAACCACCACCACAACAACCACCACCACCACCACCAGCACGCCACAACCACCACCACCACGCCACAACCACCACGCCACAACAACAACCACCACCACTACATCACAACCACCACCACGCCACAACCACCACCACCACCACTACATCACAACCACCACCACCACGCCACAACAACCACCACCACCACGCCACAACCACCACCACCACCACCACGCCACAACAACCACCACCACGCCACAACCACCACCACAACAACCACCACCACAACCACCACCACGCCACAACCACCACGCCACAACAACAACCACCACCACTACATCACAACCACCACCACCACCACTACATCACAACCACCACCACCACGCCACAACCACCACCACCACCACCACCACGCCACCACCACCACGCCACCACCACGCCACAACCACCACCACCACGCCACCACCACCACCACGCCACCACCACCACCACCACGCCACCACCACCACCACCACCACGCCACAACCACCACCACCACAACGCCACAACCACCACCACAACAACCACCACCACAACCACCACCACCACGCCACAACCACCACCACCACCACCACGCCACAACCACCACGCCACAACCACCACCACGCCACAACCACCACCACCACGCCACAACCACCACCACCACTACATCACAACAACAACCACCACCACCACGCCACAACCACCACCACACCACCACCACACCACACCACACCACCACCACACCACAACCACCACCACACCACCACCACACCACCACACCACCACCACACCACACCACCACACCACCACCACACCACCACCACACCACCACACCACCACCACACCACCACACCACCACCACACCACCACACCACCACACCACCACCACCACCACACCACCACCACCACGTGATACAAACGGTGTTGCGGCGGCCACAGCAGCGAGTCCGTGATCACGTCGGGCGGTGGGGTAAAGTCGTGGGTACCCCCCCACCCCCCACCCCCCCCTCTCACCCCCCCCTCTCCCCTCTCTCTCTTGCCACCAGCAGCGCCGTGAGACAAAGGCCATTGCCGGGCTGCGCCTTTGTCTTCGTTACAATATTTACAATGCCCAGGCATCGGTGCGACTCTGTCTCAAATATCTGTTGAGCCTACCCGGGGGACCATTGTCTGTGTGGGTACTGTATTTGTTGCGATCTAGGACAGTGGAGAGCAATTCGCTCTCTCTGTGCTCTCTCTACCCCCACTCGCTCTACTGCTACTCTCTTTGTACACTCCCCCCCCCCACGTCTCTCCTGTTGCTAATCTCTCCCCGTACTCTCCCCACTGCTACTCTCTTTGTACTCTCTTGTTGTGCACCAACTCTCTCTCTCTCTCCCTATGGGATCCCCCATCCCCCTCACTCCCAGCTCCCTCTCCACTCTCTTCCCTCTCTCCACTCTTCCCCCCTCTTTACACTTTACACACTCTCTCTCCACTCTCTCTCTCCTCTCTCTCCCTCTCTCCACTCTCTCCCTCTCTCCTTTCTCTCCACTGTCCCCCACGCTCTCCCCCTCTCTCTACCTCCATTCTCCCGTCTCTCAACTCTTCCTTCGATCCACTCTTCCCCCTTCTTTAGACTCTCTCCCCTCTCCCCTGTCTCTCGACTCTCACCCGCTCTCTTCCCCTCCTCCACTCTCCCTCCCCCACTCCCTCCCCCGCCTCTCTCTAAACGCTCCTCTCTCTCTGTCCTGCGGACTTCCTCAATAGCGGCGTCGTGACACGAGGAAGTTGAGCGGCCCTGGCATCACCACCACCACCATCATCACCACCATCATCACCATCATCATCACTATCATCACCATCATCACCACCATCATCACCACCACTATCGTTACCATCATCATCATCACCACCATCATCATCATCACCACCACCATCATCACCACCACCACCATCATCATCATCACTATCATCATCACCACCACCATCATCACCACCACCATCATCATCACTATCATCATCACCATCATCACCACCATCATCATCACCACCACCACCATCATCACCATCATCACCACCATCATCACTATCATCACCATCATCACCATCATCTTCATCACCACCATCATCACCACCACTATCATTACCATCACTATCATTACCATCATCATCATCACCATCATCATCATCACCATCATCATCATCACCACCATCACCATCATCACCACCACCACCACATCATCACCACCATCACCACCATCATCACCACGATCTTCATCACCACCACCAACATCATCATCACCACCATTATCATAATCACCACCAACATCATCATCACCACAACCATCATCACCAACCACCACCATCATAACCACCACCGTCATCACTACCACCATCACCACCGCCATCACCACCACCAATTATAATCGTTATCATCGTCATCAATCATGAACACAGTGTAGCATCATCACCATCATCTACAATGCACCATCATTATCATAATGTACAGTGTATGATCATAAATTCATACAGAATGTATCATAACCATCATTCACATCATCACCTTTTAGTGCCGGCTACATGCGCTTGTGATCCAGTGCTTATAAGATGCAAGGATTGATGGATCACGCATATATTAATTAGTGAGTCTCCCCCAAACTCCCACTGGACAGCGTGGGGTGATGGCTGGCAGACAGCAGTAGAGCAAGTGGGTTCATGAACCCATCTGTGCGGATCCTTTTGAGTGCCCCCATCCCCCGTATAAGAAGCCAAACGTTCATGAATAGACTCGGGCAAACATTCCAATTCGGCAGGAGCCGCTTGAAAGCCGAGTCTTGAAGACTCTCCCGGATACACACACGAGGTCAGTGCAAACGACTAATCAAGTAGGGCACAGAGAGTCCTCGTTTAACGCCGTAGATGCGTTCCTGAAAAGTGGCGCGTTAAGCGAATACAATTCACCCCCCCTCCTCCCCCCCAGTAAATAATGTAATCACGATAACGTTTCGTTCTACTCATGCGCAGTGAGATGATGGGGCAAGTAAATCAACGAGCGTACTCCGCCACGTCGCCGTACCATTCCGCGCCGTACCATTCCCGCTCGCCCCACGCAGCTCGAGAAAGTAGTTCCGTCATGGGCCGCTCAGAAACCGCTCAGGAACCGCGTTATACCGAGGTGGTAAAAAATCGCGTTATAACGAGGTGGTCAGAAACCGCGTTATAACCAGGTGGTCAGAAATCGCGTTATATCGAGGTGGTCAAAAACCGCGTTATAACGAGGTGCTCAGGAACCGCGTTATAACGAGGTGCTCAGGAACCGCGTTATAACGAGGTGGTCAGAAATCGCGTTATAACGAGGTGGTCAGAAACCGCGTTATAACGAGGTGGTCAGAAATCGCGTTATATCGAGGTGGTCAGAAACCGCGTTATAACGAGGTGCTCAGGAACCGCGTTATAACGAGGTGCTCAGGAACCGCGTTATAACGAGGTGCTCAGGAACCGCGTTATAACGATGTGCTCAGAAACCGCGTTATAACGAGGTGCTCAGGAACCGCGTTATAACGAGGTGCTCAGGAACCGCGTTATAACGAGGTGCTCAGGAACCGCGTTATAACGATGTGCTCAGGAACCGCGTTATAACGAGGTGCTCAGGAACCGCGTTATAACGAGGTGCTCAGGAACCGCGTTATAACGAGGTGCTCAGTAACCGCGTTATAAAGAGGTGCGAAAAGTGTTCCCCGAATGCGAGGAAGCGCGTCAGAGCCCAGTCGCGTTGGAGCGCCAACTCCGCCGCGCGCCAGCCGAGCAGTCGCCGCGAGCCCCGAATCGATGGGCGCGCACCTAGTTATTTATTTATTTATTTCATCAGCGCGGGTGCTACAAAGGTGGAGCCCGGAGTTCTGGTTCCGGGAAACGGCACCCCACGAGCCACAGCAGAGGTCGCCCCCCCTCATCGGAGCTCATGCGGACCCCCCACGAGGTGAGAGGACCCCCCACCCTCGCCCCCTCCCCCCCCACTCTCGCCCCCACCCTCGTCCCCTCCCCCCCACCCTCCCCCCCAACCTCTCCCCCCACCCCCTCGCCCCCACCCCCTCACCCTCTCCCCCCCACCCTCGCTCCCCCGACCCTCCCCCCACCCTCGCCCCCGCCCCCCCACCCTCGCCTCCTCCCCCCCACCCTCGTCCCCCCCCCACCCTTCCCCCACCCTCGCCCCATCCCCCACCTTCCCCCCACACTCGCCCCCTCCCCTCCCGCCCTCGCCCCCACCCGTCCCACGCCCCCCACCACTCACCCCCTCCCCTTGTTGCCGGGCACGTGATCGCGCCGCACCACGTGGCACGCACGTGATGGAGGAACTCGTCGACCTCCACGATGAGTGATGAGAGCGTCACGTGGCCCTGCAGTGAGTGAACCTTTGTGGCACGAACAACAACAACAATAACAGTAACACGTTGTTTGTCAATATCGCTGTGTGGCCTGGATTGTCTAATATTGGCCCGTTCACAGCGCATGAACATCGTTCCTTTTTTCGATTTAAAGCTTTCGTGACTGCAGGGGATTCATCTTCTTGGTTCTTTCGGTAAAGTCACGTAGAAGGGAAATAATAAAAATAAAACAAAATAAATTGATCACCGTTCCTGTAGATTGTCCCAGGCATTGATCATTGGGCCCTCCGTGGTTTGGGTAAGCGTGGGAGGAGGGGATTCAGTGGTAACTATTTGATCGGAGATTTGTTTACCTTCCATGTACTTTGCACTCCTGCCGTGTGATTTTGCACTGTTGTTGTAACGTTCTTTCTCAGTGCCCCTGCTAGACGTCTGTGAAAAAGAGCTTTACAGCTCATCGGATTCCTTCAGTAAAAAAAATATTCTGATTCCGAAAATGTAATCACGTGACTGCGTTCAATATGGATTCAAGAATTTATCATTAAAATGTTTTGTTAATCTCCCAAACTTTCCACGAACTTGTAATGTTTACCACTTCTGTTTACCACTGGCGACGGTGAACTACTCCGCCTCTGTCATCAGGCAGTCCAACAGGCTACCCCGAACATAGGCTTCACCACGACACGGCCATATCAACGTAAAGTACACTCACTTTTGGCGAATTATTAAAAGGCCATAAAGAAGGAATCGCCTCTAAGACGTGGCTGTTTTCTCGAGCTATACCCCCTCTCGAATAGAACTCGTTTGGGAGTCACACCACGCCTGGTGGAAACACGCGGACCATTTAAAAACAAATAATAATCCCATTTCCACCCCTGGGTATTTGACCATACTTCACCACGCTGGTCAGTGCGAGATCGATGAGGCTGATGAGACGGTGGTACTTAACGGAGGGGATGGGGGTGGGGATGTTAGGGGTTTTGGTTCGATTATGAAACTGATTATTTATTCATGGTTGTGACGATTAATCGATTAGCGACGATGGAGCAACGTGATGCGTGAAGGCCCGATAAGTATTTACAATGTGTTAACTCCTGTACGCTATCGATTCTTTAATAACAATATATTGCTTTATACTAAGTTGGATGAGGTGTAAAAGCCTATTATTGAGGACTTTGTATGCCATGCCTAAATTATTTGTGTAAAGATCAATTTTTAAATCTCCCATCAGGGCATATGCAAACGAGATGTCAATGATATGCGAATTGTCGTGACGCTAATCTGTGTTAACAGTGTATGACGTTTGCTTGTAAGTCGATTACTTATCATTTAGGAGTTTGATGTGTTGTTGATCATTGTGTGTATAAATTAACAAATATATGCAGAAGTTATCCAAATGTTATCTGCAAGCAAATGAACGAGACAAACATCGGTTTAATCCAAATGGACCGTTTTGTGTTGTTGCCAGTATCAAAGTGTTGACAGAAACAAGAATAGGTGTCACCCCTTCTGGCAATAAAACAGTTTAGATGTTGGAACATCAAATAGAAACATTTCGCAAGGAATCATGTACTGCATTAACCACAGGCAGGACTTGTGGTGAGCATGCAAACACAAGGCAAAGCATCATCATATATTATAATAATCATCAGAGCATCTGATATTTTATAATAATCATCAGAGCATGTTGATATTATAATAATCATCAGAGCATGTTGATATTATAATAATCATCAGAGTATGTTGATATATTATAAGCATCAGAGCATGTTGATATATTATAATAATCATCAGAGCATGTTGATATATTATAATAATCAGAGCATGTTGATATATTATAATAATCATCAGAGCATGTTGATATATTATAATCATCATCAGAGCATCTGATATATTATAATAATCATTAGAGCATGTTGATATATTATAACAATCATCAGAGCATGTTGATATAATAATCATCAGAGTATGTTGATATATTATAAGCATCAGAGCATGTTGATATATTATAATAATCATCAGAGCATGTTGATATATTATAATAATCATCAGAGCATGTTGATATATTATAATAATCATCAGAGCATGTTGATATATTATAATCATCATCACATGTTGATATATTATAATAATCATCAGAGCATGTTGATATATTATAATCATCATCATCAGAGCATGTTGATATATTATTATAATAATCATCAGAGCATGTTGATATATTATAATAATCATCAGAGCATGTTGATATATTATAATAATCATCAGAGCATGTTGATATATTATAATAATCATCAGAGCATGTTGATATATTATAATAATCATCATCAGAGCATGTTGATATATTATAATAATCATCAGAGCATGTTGATATATTATAATAATCACCAGAGCATGTTGATATATTATAATAATCATCAGAGCATGTTGATATATAATAATAATCATCATCAGAGCATGTTGATATAATAATCATCAGAGCATGTTGATATATTATAAAAATCATCAGAGCATGTTGATATATAATCATCATCAGAGCATGTTGATATATAATAATCATCAGAGCATGTTGATATATTATAATCATCATCAGAGCATGTTGATATATTATTATAATTATCAGAGCATGTTGATATATTATAATAATCATCAGAGCATGTTGATATATTATAATCATCATCAGAGCATGTTGATATATTATAATAATCATCAGAGCATGTTGATATATTATAATAATCATCATCAGAGCATGTTGATATATTATAATTATCAGAGCATGTTGATATATTATAATAATCAGAGCATGTTGATATATTATAATAATAATAATCATCAGAGCATGTTGATATATTATTATAATAATCATCAGAGCATGTTGATATATTAAAATAATCATCATCAGAGCATGTTGATATATTAAAATAATCATCATCAGAGCATGTTGATATATTATAATAATCAGAGCATGTTGATATATTATAATAATAATAATCATCAGAGCATGTTGATATATTATTATAATAATCATCAGAGCATGTTGATATATTAAAATAATCATCATCAGAGCATGTTGATATATTAAAATAATCATCATCAGAGCATGTTGATATATTATAATAATCATCAGAACACGTGCTTAGCAATACTAATTATCATCACCACAGCCCCTTGTCAATCCACTGCTGGATGAACGCCTCTCGAGGCACGACATTCATGGAGGATCCTCGGTCATACTTCACCACGCTTGTCAGTACGGGTTCAGTGACGGCAGAGGCTTGGGGAAGCCTTCACCCTGCAGTGGATAGATCACGGCTCCTGATGGTGCTGATACTGCCGATGATACTGCCGATGCTGATAATGCTGCTGATGATGGTGACGATGCTGCTGCTGATGCTGCTGCTTATGCTGCTTATTCTGCTGCTGATGATGATGCTGCTGATGGCGACGACGTTCATGCCACCGATGATGATGATGCCGCTGGTGCTGCTGATGATGCTGCTGCTACTGCTGATGATAATGCTGACGATGCTGATGATGATGCTGCTGCTGATGATGCTGCTGCTCATGCTGCTCATGGTGCTACTGATGCGACTGCTGATGAAGATGACAAGGATGAAACCCTCCTTGCCCACAACAACTCCCCCCCCCCCAATCAGAACGAGAACTGCTCGGGCGCTGTGGGCACCCCCCCCCTCGCGCCACCGCTCAGCAACGGCGAGCCGGCAGACGTCGGCGTCACCGCCAGCGACAACAACAACAACAACGCCAACAACATGACCCCGGGCAAACAACCGCACGGCGTCACCGGGCCCCCCGGCGCCACCCCCGAGAACAACGTGGGTGGAGCGGCGGGCGGGCGCGGGGTGCATCGTCGCCCGGGGCCGGGGGTGGACGCTCGCAGGGCGGGCGACAGCCTGGACGACGCTAGCCAGGGCTCGCCCGACAGCACAGGTGGGTGACGATGTCGTCATCGCTGACGTCATCGCTGACGTCATCGTCGTCGTCGTCATTGCCTTCGTCATCATCATCAGCATTGCCATCGTCATTGTCATCATGAATATCGTCGTCGTCATCATCATCGTCATTGCCATCAAAATTATCATCATGAATATTGTCGTCATTGTCATTGCCATCATCATTATCATCATGAATATCGTCGTCGTCATCATCATCGTCATTGCCATCATTATCATCATCATGAATATCGTCGTCATCATCATCGTCATTGCCATCATCATTATCATCATGAATATCGTCATCATCGTCATTGTCATCATTATCATCATGAATATCGTCGTCATCATCATCTTCATTGCCATCATCATTATCATCATGAATATCGTCGTCGTCATCATCGTCATTGCCATCATCATTATTATCATGAATATCGCCGTCGTCATCATCATCGTCATTGCCATCATCATTATCATGAATATTGTCATCATCATCCTCATCACCGTCCTTGCCTTCACTGTCGTCGTGCCTTGGATTTTGTGCTAAACTGGTCCTGGGCCTGTTGTAGGTCGACTCAGCCTTAAACGAGTACTAGACACGGTGCGTCAGACATCAGCGTTGGGGAGACAATGGCGGCCCGGGCGGGCGTACCTCTGGTTCCACCACCGAGTCGTGCGCCGTGCCGGCCTACGTAGGCGCTCGCGAGCGACACTTGCCCCAACAGCCTGTCGTAGGCTACACGTGGGACCTTTGTCTTTGTGTGCGCGGAGCAGAAAGTCTGTTCCGCACCCCGGGGAGCCCCGCGAACAGCTGGACCGCGGAGAACTCCCCCTCGGCGCTCGCCGAGTCTGACCAGGTGAGACCCGGGTGAACGGCCTGCAGTCCCCACTCGCTCTCTCTTCGCCTTGTCCAAACGACGCTCCATTGGCACGATGGCTGCAGCCGACGCCGCCGCCTCGCAGATGGCCGTGAGGTGGCGGTGGCCCGCGAGCCCGTTGGCATTTGCTCGGTTGAACAAATGTGAATTCCGGAGACATTTTTAAAATAAAGTAATTGTCTGTGTGTTGTTCATCCTTGTGACGTGTGGAGTGGAGAGCAGAGTTAGCAAGTCAGAGATCATCGCCTTGAGCATCAGAGAAAAAAAAAACCAAGTGGGCTTGTGGTTTCCTCCCAGGAGAAGGCATTTACAGCAAGTGGCACTCAATACCATCGGGTACGGCACTTGGGTGGATTGAGTCATACCTACATGGTCGATCAGAGTTCGTCAAGCTGGATGATGAACAGTCCTTCGCCTAATCGGCTTACCGCGGTGGTCCGCCGTCCTCGTGGCCTGCCCATTTTCAACGTGTGTCTCTCTCCGATCGCTTGACAACGAGTCCCATCAATATGCTGATTATGCACCGCAGTGATAGTCAACGTTCGATACGGAGAGCCTCGGCAATAACCTCGAAGGTTGCCACGCGAGCGGTGCTCCGTGCGGTGTGCACGGAGCGACATGCTGCTCAGTGCAGGAATATCGGAGGTGCTGCCGGTTGGCACGCCGGCTCAAACTTAAACATTTGTGAGAGGATCAGGTGTGATAGGAATCGGTGTTCTACTCTAGATCTAAAGAGCCTCGGCACCACACTCGACCAGAACATGTCGTTGGATCACCGCTTGCAAGATGTCGTCAGGTCCTGCAATGATTTTTCTTTTCTTCGGGTGCTCCAGTTTCCTCCCGCGTGTATAAAAATGATAATAAACACAACTTATCTGAAATTAAACACCCAGTGTGGCAGCGACAGGACCCTCCAGGGAGTCGTGCGGTGTTCAGCGTTGACCTCCTGCTGGCTAAAGACATTGTTATTGTTTAACAGTCCGAGCCTCTTGTAATGCGCGCCAAACCGGTCTGACAAAGGGAGCTCCCGAAACGAGTCAAGCCAGTTTTACCACATAGGCATGTGGCCCTGACACCCAGACCCTGACTGGGTGTCAGGGCTACGTGGCCTCGGAGAACGTTGATCATGTGGAGGGGCTGGCTGGGCACGATCGCAATAGCGGTCTCTCAAGACCTCGAGCGATGCCACTTTTAAGGCCACACTCAGAATCAGAATCTTTACTCGTGGCGCCGCGGTGGCTAGGAGATATTATCTGCCTCTCTTGGTACGGCGGAGGTCGTGGGTTCTATCCAGACCCTGACGCCTGCTGTGTATTTGGAATTTGCGTGTTTCGCTCACCGTGACTGCGTTGATTTTAATCTGGGTCCTCTGGTTTTTTTCTCCTCCACATTTAGAATCACGGTGGGTTTACAATATTTGGTTGGTCTAAATTTCCACACTGTAAGCCACTTAATTGAGCTGTTATTTGTGGCCAGGCCGCTTGTGAAAAAGAGCTACGCTCAGTGGGCCTTGCCTGGTCGATAAAATAGAAAATAGTACAGTTTTGTTCAGACGAGAGGAACCCGATGACCTATGAAGCTCTTTGTCACAGATGTCTGGAGGGGGGGGGGGGTGGTCGGTGAGTTATATTCTTCTCAGTGTTGACTCCCGGTGGGTCGGGCCACACGCGTGGAGCAGAGCGGGACGAGATTTGACTTGCCGATACTAAAACTAAACTATTTTTTTTATTTTCCCAATTAAGGCCCCACTGAGCTATGTAGCTCTTTTGTAGAAGCGACCTGGCCTCAAATGATAGCCCAATGAAGTTGCTTATGATGTGGAAATTCAAAGCAGCAAAATGCTCTAAACGCACGGTGATTCTAAATGTGGGAGAAAACACCGGAGGACCTGAAGAAAAATCCACGCGACCACGGGGAGAGAGAGACACGCAAACTCCAAATATAGAGCAGGCGTCAGGGTCGGGATGGAACCCACTACCTCTTGCATACCTCGCGAGGTAGTTAACATCTCAACACGTGGAGAGAGATACGCAAACTCCAAATATACAGCAGGCGTCAGGGTCGGGATGGAACCCACGACCTCCTGTATACCAGGCGAGATAGTTAACATCTCACCACGTGGAGAGAGAGACACGCAAACTCCAAATATACAGCAGGCGTCAGGGTCGGGATGGAACCCACGACCTCCTGTATACCAAGCGAGGTAGTTAACATCTCACCACGTGGAAAGAGACACGCAAACTCCAAATATACAGCAGGCGTCAGGGTCGGGATGGAACCCACGACCTCCTGTATACCAGGCGAGGTAGTTAACATCTCAACACGTGGAGAGAGATACGCAAACTCCAAATATACAGCAGGCATCAGGGTCGGGATGGAACCCACGACCTCCTGTATACCAGGCGAGGTAGTTAACATCTCACCACGTGGAGAGAGACACGCAAACTCCAAATATACAGCAGGCGTCAGGGTCGGAATGGAACCCACGACCTCCTGTATACCAGGCGAGGTAGTTAACAACTCGCCATCGAGCTTCAATGCTCTTCATCTACTTGTTGGTGTAGAGAGAAGCAGCTGTGACGTTTCCGTCAAGGTGGTTGAGTCTGTGGGTGGTCTTTATGTGAGTCTATAGATCTGTGTGTGTGTCTATGTATCTCTGTGTGAGTCTATGGGTCTCTGTGTGTGTCTATGTATCTCTGTGTGAGTCTATGGGTCTCTGTGTGAGTCTATGGGTCTCTGTGTGAGTCTACGGGTCTATGTGTGAGTCTACGGGTCTCAGTGTGAATCTATGGGTCTATGTGTGAGTCTACGGGTCTCTGTGTGAGTCTACGGGTCTCTGTGTGAGTCTATGGGTCTCTGTGTGAGTCTATGGGTCTCTGTGTGAGTCTACGGGTCTATGTGTGAGTCTACGGGTCTCGGTGTGAATCTATGGGTCTATGTGTGAGTCTACGGGTCTCTGTGTGAGTCTATGGGTCTCAGTGTGAGTCTATGTGTCTCTGTGTGAGTCTATGGGTCTCTACGTGCCGGCCTTGACGAGTGGTCGCTAACCGCGCAACTTGGCCCCTGCATACTGTGCAAGGCTTCACCGCTACGGGGGGGGGGGGGGCACCTTTGTCTTTGTTTGCGAAGGTGCGGGGGTCACGGGGTCACGCGGGGTGGGAGAACAGCCTGAGACCGCGGCCCGCTCCACGCAGCTCCTTCCAGGCCGGGGGTGCCGTGGGGTTCAGCCCCCCCCAGCCCACCCCCAAGACACTCCGCAAGGTGCGTGCACACACACACGGTAACACGGGGAGTGCAACAACAACAACAACCGCCATTCGCCACTAAGTGGCGGTGACGTCACCACGACGCTTGTGCCAGGCTATGTGCACCCTGAGGCCACGTGAAGTGTCGAACGCCCGCTGGCAGGAGGTCACGGGGCAGACCCAGGTGCCACGGGTCGACTGACTGAGATGACTGGCTGATGCACCACCTGTGCCCCCTACTGTGCCAACCTGCTGTGCTTTAGCCACCCGGCGCTCCGCTAGTTTTTCTGAGCGTCGCTCCTCCGCCCTCCGTTGTTGTTGGAGGGCGATTGCCTCCAACTGCCCAGTAGCATCCTTCACGAGCCTCCTCCACAGAGGCCGATCTTGACACCGCTGGTACCAGTCATCGGCAAGTCCACTCAGCTCCACGTCCTCCTGTACCACATCACTCCATCTCTTCTCTAGCCCGTGCCGCGCCCGCTTAGCCCCCTCAATCCGGCCAAACAAAAGCTGTTTCGGCATGCGGTGGCTGGGCAAGCGGGCTACATGACCCAGCCATCACAGCCTTGCCTGCCGGAGGAGCTCACCGATGGGACCCTGCCCAGATCTTTCAAGGATTTGTGAGCTCCTCACACAATCCAGTCTGGTTAAACCCAGGATGGATCGTAGGCAGGCCAGCCTAAATGTTTCTAACCGGCGAAGATGTTCCATTAGGGGGGTCCACGTTTCGCAAGCGTAGAGAAGGGAGGGAATGACCGTGGCCGAGAAGACCTGAAGCTTAGTGCGGAGCGACAGACCAGGTAGCTTCCACACAGCGTTACGCAACCGATGAAAAGATATTGCCGCTCGACTGATTCGGAGTGAGACCTCTGCTGTTAAACTGGAGCCAGTCATAAGCACACTGCCCAGGTATGGGAAACTCTCTACTCTCTCCACAACTGCCCCATCACCGATTGGGAGTTGTGGGGGTGGAGTGTCCGATGGTACAAAATACCCAGGCAGGTGCTTAGTTTTGGTGGGGCTGATGGTAAGGCCCCACCTCTTAGTGGCACGCTCCAGTCTTAGCAGCAGCGTCTCCAACTCCTCCTCTGACTGAGCAGCTATTACCAAATCATCAGCATACATAACGTGGTTGAGCAATAGGGAGTCATCCCTTGACCGCACCCGGGCATCGATTACCACGAAACCACGTATTAAACGGGGAGTGCGCACACACACACACACACGGTAACACGGGGAGTGCACACACGCACAGTAATGCTGGGAGTCTACAAACACGCACACACACACAACAGTACAGGGAGTACACACGCGCACACGGACGCGCACAGAACAACACAGAGGGTACACACACACGCGCACACACCCACCTACTCACAACCACAGCCCCCCGCTAAGTGTCGTTGATGTCACAACAGCTCTTGTGCCAGGCTAGGTGCACTTTGAGGTCGTCGTGTGAAGTGTCGAAGGCTCGCCGCTGGCAGGAGGTCACACGACAAAAGCAGGCGGTGCCATGCGTTAGCTGATTGAGATGACTGGAAGATGCACCCAACCGTGCTCCCCACTACACGTGTGTGTTTACACGTGTTTGCACACGTGTACACACACGTGTACACATGTGTACACGCGTGCAGGTTCTTACACATTGCGCGTGTGCACACTCGAGTGTGTGTACACGCCGGTTCTGGTGTAAGCCTTTGTGCCCGAGTGCGTTCACCCTGTTAAGTCTGCGCACGTACACGCCGGGTCTTATATGTTTGTGCATGTATCCACTTGTGTCCACGAGCATGTGTGTGGTTAGGGTCAAGGCTAGTGTCTGAGTGGCTAGTGTGGTGAGGGGTAGGGCTAGTGTCTAGGTGTCTAGTGTGGTTAGGGTCAGGGTTAGTGTCTGAGTGGCAAGTGTGGTTAGGGGTAGGGCTAGTGTCTGAGTGGCTAGTGTGGTTAGAGTCAGGGCTAGTGCCTGGGTGGCTAGTGTGGTTAGGGGTAGGGCTAGTGTCTAGGTGTCTAGTGTGGTTAGGGTCAGGGTTAGTGTCTGAGTGGCAAGTGTGGTTAGGGGTAGGGCTAGTGTCTGAGTGGCTAGTGTGGTTAGAGTCAGGGCTAGTGCCTGGGTGGCTAGTGTGGTTAGGGGTAGGGCTAGTGTCTGGGTGGCTAGTGTGGTTAGCGTCAGGGCTAGTGTCTGATTGGCTAGTGTGGTTAGGGTCAGGGCTAGTGTATGATTGGCTAGTGTGGTTAGGGTCAGGGTTATAATGACAGACAGACATGTCTAAATAAATCAAAAGAATACTGCTGCTGCTGCTGCTGCTGCTGATTCCCCCGAGGGCGTGCGTATCAGAGCGAGGCTGAGCCGCCACTGCGCTCGCCACCTGCGCAGGGCGTCGCGCTTGCGACGTGTTTTCCGCTCTCTCGCTCCCGAAGTAGCTCCCGGCACGTGGAGCGAAACGTCGGTCGTCGTGCCAAGCGACGACAACAACGCCACGACCTCGTGGCGGCACGACCTGCGAGCCGCACGGTCCCCCCGGCGTGCCGTCGTTCCAACCGAATTGCCGGCGTTACCGGATGTTCGGCGATTTTATCGGCGGTCGAAAAAAAGCAAGGGCAGGGGAAGTGATTGGATGGGGCGCTGTGCTCTCGCTGCCCCGTTCGGGGTGGGGGGTTCGAGTCGAGGTGGGGGAGGGGAGATGGGGGAGGGAGCGGGTGGTCGGGACAGATAGGAGGTCTCATGGACAGGCTATGAGGCCTGGTCGTGGCTTCTGGCTTCAGTTTCCTGGAAATGAGGCTGACCACTCCCTACGGTCAACCGTGGGTGTGAGGAAGTCTACGGGGAGCGGCGGTGCAGCGGTTAGCGCCGCTGTGCTACGAACCCGGCGACCCGAGTCCGATTCCCGCACACGGCCACCTACAGCGGTGCCGGTTATCTGAAGCGGTCCCCGGCCTAGGTTCACTCGGCCTGAAGCAAGTGACCCTCGGCGCGGTGTGCGAACGTCGCCACCGGAGAGGCGAAGGGGCCCCGGCGTGGTGCCGTGCCGGCCTCCGTGGGTGCTATTCGCCAGCAGCACTTCCCAAAGCGCCTGTCGAAAGCTGCACTGGAAGTGACGCAACTCGGACCGTACCCGGCCGTGATCGTCTCCCCAGTGCTGACGTTTAAAACTTGCCCGGGCATTCAGGCTCGGTAGACCTTGGGAAGGCCCTCACACACACTCACACACAAGCCTCACGAGAGATTTGTTTTCAGAAGCCTACGTTTTTTGACAATGCACAAACACCCAGCGATCTGTGTGTTCGTGCTGACATTTGGGTTTTGTGGCAATGGGGGATTGTGGGGTTGCGTGGGGGTGTGTGGGGTGTGTGGGGGTGTGTGGGCTAGCGCTGGTCGTGAGATATCTCTGTCTGAACATCTGTCGTCAAACATCTGCTGAGCGGGCACATTTTAATTTCATTCTGCCCCGTTGTGTCAGTGTCGTCAGTGTGTGTCAGTATGTGTCAGTGTGTGTGTTGTCAATGTGTGTCAGTGTGTGTTGTCAGTGCGTGTCAGTGTGTGTGTTGTCAATGTGTGTCAGTGTGTCAGTGTGTGTTGTCAATGTGTGTCAGTGCGTGTCAGTGCGTGTCGTCAGTGTATGTGTCAGTGTGTGTCAGTGCGTGTGTCAGTGTGTGTCAGTGTGTGTGTCAGTGCGTGTGTCAGTGTGTGTCAGTGTGTGTGTCAGTGTATGTGTCAGTGTGTGTCAGTGCGTGCGTGTGGCTGTGGGGAGTGGTAGTGTGGCGGTTAGCACCCTGCGCTACGAACCGGGCAAGCTGAGTTCGATTCCTGCTCACGCCCAACACGAGTGACGATTATTTGAACCGGTTCTGGGACTTCCCTGGGTCGACTAAGCCATACATGAAAAGCAGATGTGCGTGCAAATCGCCACGAGGAAGACAAAAGCGGCCGGGCGTGGTGCTGGCCGACCTTCATAGGTCCTGCTCGCTAAAACCACTTACTCCAACAGTCTGTTCAGGCTACACGGGGGCTCTCTGTGTACACACACACACATGCATTACTACTTGTGTGTAGTGCTTATGTTTACACGTGTGTGCATTCCTGTGTGCGTGTGTGTGCACGTAAACACTTATGCGCATTCCTGTGTGTGCGTGTGTGTGCACGTAAATGCGTGTGTGCGTGTGTCTCTCCCAACACGTTCTGTGTTGACACAAAAGTGTCCCGGCTTTTTCCCGTAAATGATTTCAGTTCGTGGTGGTGGTGGCGGTGGTGGCCGGCGGTGGCCGGCGGTGGTGGCGGTGGTGGCCTTTACCCTCCGGCTGATTTCTAGGAATCTCTCAAATCCTTAAACCTCAAAACCCACCCACCCCCCTCGCCCTCCGTTAACTTCTGGACCGCCTCCCCACCACTCCCCACCCTCCCTGCATTTCCTGCTCCGGCTCCCTTTAAATCTTTGGCGTGCCGCTCAATCGGCCACCCCCGGGAGCACGACGATGCAGCGGCTTATATCGCTCCGCACGATGCGCGTTGATGTCAGCACCGCGGCGGCGGCCGCCTTAAATAGGGGAAGTATATCCCGGGCGGCGACGTCGTTCCGGCACAAAGGCCCTTCCTCGCAGCAGGCGGTGAGGAGGTGTGGTGCGGCGCCACTGCCAGCCCGTTATCAGCGCGTCATCCCGATGGGTTCAATCAGTTTCGCTTGTAAACAAAGAGGCTTTGTTTACAAAAGGTTTTTGTTTACACGCGGCAGTGGGGCGTGGGGGCGGGAGAAAGCTGGCACGCCCGGAAAATCCGTTCACGTTTCCCTCTCAAACGCAAGGCAAAGGTGCAACTTGGAGCTATGTACACTGCAGCTGCGTGTCCGTGCGTCTCTCTCTGTGTGCGTGTGTCCTGTGTGTGTGTGTGTGTCCTGTGTGTGCGTGTGTTCTGTGTGTGCGTGTGTGTCCTGTGTGTGCGTGTGTGTGGGTGTGTGTTCTGTGTGTGCGTGTGTCCTGTGTGTGCGTGTGTGTGCGTGTGTGTCCTGTGTGTGCGTGTGTGTGCGTGTGTGTGTCCTGTGTGTGTCCTGTGTGTGCGTGTGTGTGTCCTGTGTGTGTGTGTCCTGTGTGTGTGTGTGCGTGTGTGTGTCCTGTGTGTGTGTGTCCTGTGTGTGTGTGTCCTGTGTGTGCGTGTGTGTGTGCGTGTGTGGGGGAGCGGTGGCCCAGCCGTTGGCGCGCTGCGCTACGAACCCGGCGACCCGACTTCGATTGGCGCTCGCGACAAATAATTATCGGTGACGAATATCTGAACTGGGCCTGGACCACCCCTAGGTCGACTCAGCATAAAAATAGTACCTGGTGCTATGTGCATACATCGCCATTGGGGAGACAAAGGCGGCCAGGGGTGGTGCTGGCCACCCACCCCCTCGTGTGACGTGTCAGCCTCCATAGATGCTCGCTATTAGCACTTGTCCCAACATTCTACATGGAGGATCTTTGTCTTTGCCTGTTTTTGTCCTGTGTGCGTTTGTGGGTGGAGTGGTGGCGCAGTGGTTAGCACGTTGCCCTACGACGCCCGGCGACATGAGTTCGATTACTGACTCCGTCCCACATCAGTGGCGCTAGTGATATCGCAATCGGTTCTGGGTCTCCCCTGGGTCAACTCAGCCTTAAATTGGTACCTGGTGTGGAGTGTAAACATCAGCACTGGGGTGATGGCCGGTCTTTCGGATCTCGGCTCGTGATTAATTGCTCGTTATGCAGGTGATTGTTTATAATTTATTAATTTATTAATTGGTTGATTGTCGCCGGGTTTCCCCGCAGTCTTTCCGCGGAGTGCCCAAGTCTCCGGTTGCCATGGACTTGGGGGGCTCCCCCCCCGAGCCCCGGGGTCGCCACGCCCCCCCCGGCCTCTCGCCCCTACCCACAATGCCGAGCAACCACGTTGCCACCCCCACACCGCCGCATGCTCGGGAAGAGCCGGTGAGAATTTATTGGAATTCGTCATCATCATCATCGTGGGCATCATTAGCATCATTGTTGTTATGATAATCATTGCGATTATCATCATTATCATAAACATCATTGTAGTCACTGTGACTGTTATTATCACTGCTATCATCATTGCTATTACGCATCCTCATCACTGCTAGAAATCATCATTACCATTATCACCCACCACTGACAATCACCTCCATGTCACTGTGTGTACTCATGTCAACCACCACCTCCTCCTCCCTCTCCCCCCTCCTTCCTCGTGGGCCGCAGGACGAGGGCTCCTCCTCTTCGCTCTCCTCCTCGTCGCTCTCCTCATCGTCGCTGCTGCCGCTGGCACCGCCGCCGCCGCTGGGCGTGGGGGACCTGGTGTGGGGGAAGATCAAGGGCTACAGCTGGTGGCCGGGCTGCACCGTGTCCTGGCTGGAGACGGGGCGCGACCCCGCTCCGATCGGCTCCAGCTGGATCCGCTGGTTCGGAGACTGCAAGTTCTCCATGGTGAGCGAACAACTCGCGCCAACTCGCGCCGGTTGCGGCGACGGTTGTCGAGACCATCGCATTCGTCACGGCGACGGTGGTGACAGCGATGATGAATGGTGATGATGCACGCTGTATGAATTCATGATGATGGTGGTGATAGTGATGATGCATTCTATATGAATTCATGGTGATGATGATAATGATAACTGATATTGATGACGATCATGGTGATGATGATGAAATTAACCTTTCGTCATGTGTGTACGCGTGCCTGTATACGTGGGTGTATCTACGCATGCGTGTATACGTGCGTGTGTGTACACATGCCTGTATATACGTGTGTATGTGCGTGCCTGTATATACGTGTGTGTATGTGCGTGCCTGTATATACGTGTGTGTATGTGCGTGCCTGTATATACGTGTGTGTATGTGCGTGCCTGTATATACGTGTGTGTGTGCGTGCCTGTATATACGTGTGTGTATGTGCGTGCCTGTATATACGTGTGTGTATGTGCGTGCCTGTATATACGTGTGTGTATGTGCGTGCCTGTATATACGTGTGTGTATGTGCGTGCCTGTATATACGTGTGTGTATGTGCGTGCCTGTATATACGTGTGTGTATGTGCGTGCCTGTGTATACGTGTGTGTATGTGCGTGCCAGCCTTCATAAGTGCTCCCGAACAGTACTTGCCCCAACAGTCCGTTTAGACTATACGGGGGACCTTTGTCTTTGTGTGCTTGTGTGGGGAGCGGTGGTGTAGTGGCTCGTGCACTGCCCCATGAACCCGTCGACCCGCATTCAAATCCCGCTCACTACCACTAACAGTGGCAAACCGGACCTGGGCATCCCCTAGGTTGACTCGGCCTGAAATGAGTACCCGGTGCATAACCATCAGCGCCGGGGAGACAAAGGCGGCTGTGCGTGGCGCTGGCTGCGCCACCTCCTCGTGCGCCGTGCCGTCCGTTAAGAGGTGCTCCTCGCGGACGGCACTTGCCCCAGCCGCCTGCTGAAGGCTACGCGGGGAATCTTTGTGCGTTGTGTGCGAAGGTGCAAGGGGACAAGCTGCGACCTCTGAGCGAGTTCAACGACCACTTCCACTTGGCCACCTACAACAAGCGGTCCGCCTACAAGCGGGCCGTCTACGAGGCTCTCAAGGTACCGCCCACCTCCTCAACCTCGTCGTCATCGTCACCATGATGATGATGATAATAATTGCGGTCGGTTGACTCGTAGCGCCTGGGTCTGTCCCACGTGGCCATCGTAAACAACATCATCACGATCGTCGTCGTCGAGCAATCCGTCATCGTCATCGTCGATGTCATCGTCGTCACAGCCGTCACCGTCACAATCGGGCTGCCCGTTGCCCAGTGGGTTGTGACCTGTGGCAAAAAATACCCACAAAACCGAACCCCTGGTTCTGCAGGAACCCCCCCGAAAACACCCACGGGCTTCCCCGGGTCGGTCGTGCCCGTGGGGTGGTGCCCGTGGGGTCGTGCCCGTGGGGTGGTGCCCGTGGGGTGGTGCCCGTGGGGTGGTGCCCGTGGGGTGGTGCCCGTGGGGTGGTGCCCATGGGGTGGTGCCCGTGGGGTCGTGCCCGTGGCCCAGGCACCCCGGCGCCGTCACACAGCAGCACACGCGTGACGCCACGCGTGTGCTGCTGTGTGACGTCACGCACACACGCGTGACGCCACGCGTGTGTGCGTGACGCGACACGTGTGTTCCGTATGTGTGTTGTCAGTCGTACGGCCAGGCGGCGGCACTCCGGCTGCGTTGAACGCAGCGTGCCAGGAGGGATGCCGAGAGGCAAACCCGATCGGGAAATAAATAAATAGACGCTCGCCGAGGAGTCTTAACGGCTCCACGCGAGTTCGAACAGCGTCCTCGACTCCCATTGGCGGGCAGCCGTCACGGCGGGGGTGGGGGGAGCAGACGTAGGGCACGCCCAATCGGATTTGAAGGTGGAGAACTTTCAAATCCGATTGGTCGTCGGGGAAAACTAAATGCAAATGACGGTTTCGGTTGGGAGACCGTTACGGGGGAAATGTTTGGGATTAGTGGGGAGCAATGGAAAGATCGGGAAAGGATGGGAAAGAGAATACAAGGAGGGGTAGCAGCACCTGAACGTGGTGATTCCCAATGAAGGGATCCCGAGCCTGACGCCTGCTGTATGTTCAGAGTCTCCATGACTTTCTTCCATTGTTTGTGTGGATTTTTCTCCGTGTCCTCCAGTTTTTAGAATCAACAACACGCGTTTAGAGTATTTGGGCTGCTATACATTTCCATGTGATAATCCACTTCGTTAAACTATTATTAGTGACCAGGTCGCGTCTGAAAAAGAGCTTAGCTAGTAAAATAAAAAAAATTGTTTAGTGTAGTGAGTGAAGAAGTTCGAGACTCACACGGCGGATCTGGCGGTGCTGTTGCTGCTGCTGCTGCATTGTCAGCGGTGCACAAGCACAGTCAACAACAACACAAGCACAGGCAACAACAACACCAGCACAGTCAACACCAGCACAGGCAACAACAACACACACTCTGTGTGCGTGTGTGTGTACGTGTGGGGAGCGGGGGCGTAGCGACTAGCGCGGGCCCCCCCCCCGCCACGTGGACGGCCCTGGTGAAGGCTATATGGGTTACCTTTGCCTTTATTAGAGTGGCCTTAAGAGGAGAAAACACAACAGACGACGTTTCGGGCAATGGCCCTTGTGCTGCACAGCGCACACCGCCTGCACCGCCTGCGACGTTAGTCTCGTCTCCCGCCTGGATGCGCGGCCCCTGCCACGGTAACGTGGAATTGTGCGCGCAGATGGCGAGCCAGCGCGCGGGGAAGATCCTGGAGCCGGCGGCGGAGGGGGCCGCGGGGGGGTCGTTGGGGGTCACCGGCGGGGGGGAGGGGCTGGGGGGGTCGGCGGCAGCGGTGTCGTCCGGGGGGGTCGCCGGGGGGGAGGGGGCGCTGGGGGGAGGGGGCGAGGGGGAGCTGTCCCCGGGCCTGGAGCGAGCGCTGAAGCCTCTGCTCGGCTGGGCCACCGGGGGGTTCCAGCCCACGGGCCCACGCGGCCTGCAGCCCACAGAGGGTACACTCACACACACGTACACACATACATACACACACACACTCACATACACACATACACACACACTCACACGTACACACACTCATGTACACACACACATACATACACATACATACACATACATACACATACATACACATACATACACATACACACACATACATACACATACACACATACATACACATACATACACATACACATACATACACATACATACACATACATACACATACACACACATACACATACATACACATACATACACATACACACACATACACATACATACACATACACACACATACACATACATACACACACACATACATACACACACACATACATACACACACATACACACACATACATACACATACACACACACATACACATACATACACACATACACACACACATACACATACATACACATACATACACATACACATACATACACACATACACACACATACACATACACACATACATACACATACACACACACATACACTCACACATACATACACACATACATACACACACATACACACACACACATACACATACATACACACATACATACACACACATACACACACACACATACACACACACATACACACACACACATACACACACACACACATACACACACACACACATACACACATACACACACACACACATACACACACACATACACACACATACACACATACACACACATACACATACATACACATACACACACATACACATACATACACATACATACACATACACACACATACACACATACACACATACATACACACATACATACACTCACACATACATACACACATACACACACATACACATACATACACATACATACACATACATACACATACATACACATACACACATACATACACACATACATACACTCACACATACATACACACATACATACACATACATACACATACATACACATACACACATACACACATACATACATACACACTCATGTACACACTCACGTACACACACTCACGTACACACACACACACATACACACACATACATACACACACATACACACGGTCACTCACGTACACACACACACACTCATGTACACACACACACACACGGTCACTCACGTACACACACTCATGTACACACACACACACACTCACGTACACACACACACACACTCACGTACACACACACACGGTCACTCACGTACACACACACACGTACACACACACGGTCACTCACGTACACACACACACACGTACACACACATGGTCACTCACGTACACACACACACACGTACACACACTCATGTACACACGGTCACTCACGTACACACACACACACACGTACACACACTCACGTACACACACACACACACGGTCACTCACGTACACACACACACACACGTACACACACTCATGTACACACACACACACGGTCACTCACGTACACACACACACACGTACACTTATACGTACACACACTCACGTACACACACACACTCAGGTACACACACACACGTACACACACTCATGTACACACACACACACGTACACACTCACGTACACACACACACGTACACACACTCATGTACACACACACTCACGTACACACACACACACGGTCACTCACATACACACACACACACGTACACACACTCATGTACACACACACACACACGGTCACTCACGTACACACACACACACGGTCACTCACGTACACACACTCACGTACACACACACACTCAGGTACACACACACACGTACACACACTCATGTACACACACACACACACGTACACACACACACACACGTACACACACTCATGTACACACACACACTCACGTACACACACACACGTACACACACTCATGTACACACACACACGTACACACTCACGTACACACACACACGTACACTCATACGTACACACACACTCACGTACTCACACACTCACGTACACACACTCATGTACACACACACTCACGTACGCACACGTACACTTACGTACACACACACATGTACACACACAGATGTATGCACACACACACATGTACACACACAACACAGACAAAGATCCCCCTCATGTAGGCTCAACGGATTGTGGGGGCAAGTGCTGTTAGCGAGTGCCGCCGATGAAAGGCCGGCACGGCATGAGTACCTGGTGCAGTGTGTAAACATCGCTACTGGGGAGACGGAGACAGTCGGGGCTGACACAGACCACCCACCCCATCATGTGCCGTGCCGGCCTTCATAGGTGCTCGCTAAAAGCACTTGTCCCAAAAGCCTGTTCCAGCTATACGGGAGATCTTTATCCGTGTACACACACGCACACACGCATGCACGCTTGCCCCCGCGTAACAGCACTTGCCCCCAACGCTCAGCGAAGGCTACACGGTGGGACCCTTTGCCTTTGTGTCGCGACCGCGTGCCAGAGGATCGCAAGGCCCCCAAGAGGATGGCGTCGAGTCAACCGGAGGTCGTCCCCTTGGGCCCGCCGCCCAAGAAGCACAAAGCGGCTCCCCTGCCAGCGCTGCCCTGCGGCTCCAAGGGTGAGTGACCCGGTCCAGAGGTCAAGGTGCAGCCCTGAAATTGGTTCGCAGTCGGGGGTCACAGCAATGAACGTTGCCGTGTTATTATTATTATTGTTTTTACTTCGCGGCATTCCTGCAAACGGAATCACGGACGGGAATCCGCAGACATAAACCCAGGCGCTGCCCACAATTTCCCAAGCTCTGTGGTCCGATATACTGGGATGATTGGCTGCTCGCTCACTCGTGCCACCGCTGTGGTGGCGTGACTTCGGTGGTTCAAACTTGTTTGTGCGGCCAGCGGTGGTGAAATTGGTGCTCATTTTAAATGAGTGGGCGATCAGATGACTCGCTCTCTCGCGAGCCACGTCAATGAATGGGTTACGACCAGTGTTCTGTTTGTACTGTCTCATTTGTACCGCGTGTCTGGTTTGTGCTGCCGGTGCTGTCGAGATTGAATGGTGCACAGTTTGTGTGATGACGTGTGATGACGTGTGATGACGTGTGTGAATCGGGACGTTGATGGAAGCGATGAACGACGTTGTCCACTTTCAGATGTTCTCGTCGAGCAGATCCGCATGAAAGTCCGGAACATTGAAGGTGAGCCACTTTCGTAAACGTGAACATTTACCACGTCCGTGACCACGCGTGTCCATGACCACGCGTGTGCTAGACCACGCGTGTGCTAGACCACACATATTTGCCACCGGGCGTGTCCGTGATCACGCGTGTGTCAGTTAATTCTGCCCCGGTGAATACCGCCGTGGGTATTGCTGTAACTCCTCCTCCTACTCCGTCGAAGGAGCGCAGACCACAGTGGGTTCACTGTGACGGTGTGTGCGTGTGTCTCCAGACATGTGCATGGGCTGTGGCAGTCTGTACGTGGTGGCTCAGCATCCGCTGTTCGAGGGAGGGCTGTGCCAGACCTGCAAGGTACGGATTCCCCCACCGCCCCGGCCCCAATCGTCACAGTCATCGCTAGGTCACGGACAAAGTCAGAGGGTTTCGTCGCGACCCGTGCCATTTGAAGTGTTCGTCGAGCCGTCCAGCCGGCTGGCACCGTGGGGAGAACGTTTGACCTCCGTTTTTTCTTCTTCCACTGGCACATCTGAGCCGAGCCAGAACCAAACCGTGCCATGCTTGCTGGCCTCCAGACAAGCCATCGGAATCTGGCTTGGGGCCAAGCAGGGCCAGGGGCGGGGGGAGGTTAATAATAATTAAACGTTGCGTTGAGTTGCTGAGAAATGTAAGCGCGCCACGGATACCAACCCGTACCCTAAATCCCGTACCCTAAAACCTGTACCCTAAAACCCGTGCCCTAAAACCCGTGCCCTAAAACCCGTACACTAAAACCCGTGCCCTAAAACCCGTACCCTCATCGTTGACTTGGAAATATGTAAATACATAAACAAACGCGTTGCCGACGAATAATCTGGTTAAGGACATTAACGCCGAGTTCCTAATCCCCCCTCCGCCCCGCCCCCGCCACTCCCCCCCCGCCCAGCAGTGGGGTAAAGTGTGAGTAACACCACCTCTTCCAATACGCAGGCCAACCTCGAGCCCCCCATCCGCAGCGGTGGTGTGAGCGGAGCTATTCCAGGGGCTGCGCCTTTACCCTCTGGCCTGAACCCCCCCCTCCCCCCCACCGTGTATCCGTGACCCCGTCTGCAGGACACGTACCTGGAGTGCTCGTACCTGTACGACGACGATGGCTACCAGTCCTACTGCAGCGCCTGCTGCGCTGGCAAGGAGGTGCTCATGTGCAGCAAGGTCAACTGCTGCCGGTGAGTAAACCACCTCGTCGTCGTGGTGGTGGTGTCAATCAACATCGTCGCTGTTGCGTTCATCGTCATCATCGTCATCATCATCGTCGTCGCCGTCATGTTCATCGTCATAATCGTCATCATCATCGTCATCATCGCTATCATTGTTGCTGTTGCGTTCTTCATTATCGTCGTCACCGTCGCGTTCATCGTCATTGTCATCTTTACAGTCGCGTTCATCGTCATCGTCATCATCATCATCGTCATCATCATCATCATCGTCATCATCACCGTGGAATCTCCGCAGCAGCAAGCGCCGCCGCCAGGCTTCGCCGCCGCGCCCTCACCGTGACCTATCCACTGCTGGATGAAATATTTTCCCCCGAGCCGGCGCCGTCCGGAGCTCGAGCGCGCTCCCGCTCGCTCTTCCAAACGGGGAGCGCTCGTGGGCGGCCGCTCGCGGGCCAGGCCGGCCAGCTGGGCCCGTGGCGGCCTGGGTGTAGCTCCAAGATAAGGGCCCTGTTTGTGTTGCATGCTAACGGCTTCCTCCCACCCCATTGTCACACCGCACGTCCGGTTTCCAGCACGACCCCCGACCCCTCGCCGCCCCCCCCCAACCGCACGCACCCCACCGCCGACCCCCCCCCAAACTCCTATATTATTATCGTCAACGTCACGGGAAGCCTTCTTGTGAAATGATTGTAGCCGTGGAGTGGGCGCACGGTGGGTGAGCGCCCGGAGCGGGGGACGGTCGACCGTGTCGGAGTGTGCCGGGCGCGGCTGTGTTGTCCGCGTCGCTGGGGATCGCGCGCAGTAGCAGCAATCATCGCCCCCCTCCGCCAAACCGATGGCCGCTCGCAGGCAAGCCGCTGAGCCGCCTTGCGCTGCACAGGGACGGCTGCCAGGGGTGGGCGCGAGATGTTAACTACCTCGCCCGGTGCACAGGAGGTCGTTGGTGTCGATGCCGACTGATATTCGGAGTTTGCGTGTCTCTTTCTCCCTGTGGTAGCGTGGATTTTTCTTTGGGTCCTTCGTTTTCGCCCTCCACGTTCACAATCAGCGTCACGTGTTCAGAGTATTTGGCCGCCATAAATTGCCACGTGATGATAGGCCACAGCCATGGCCGCTTCTGCAAAAGAGCCGTGCAGCTCGGTGGGCCTTTGCCTGGTAGCACAACAGCGAGTTTGCACTTTTATAGTTTCAATCTTTGAGACGGGACGTGAGCCGCAAACCTTCGCGCGACGCTCGCCGCTCGCCGGCGCCGCCGGCGCCGCCGGCGCGGAGCGGCCGGCGGGCGACCGCGAGAGCCAAAGTGGACGCGGTGTGCCGGGGCGCGCAGCTGCTTCTGCATGGAGTGCGTGGAGCTGCTGGTGGGGGCCGGGGCGGCGCAGGCTGCGGTGGCCGAGGACCCCTGGACCTGCTACATGTGCCTGCCGCACGGCACCAACGGCCTGCTGCGACGCCGCGACGACTGGGCCACGCGCCTGCAGCTCTTCTTCACCAGCGACCGCGACCAGGAGTTCGTGAGTGGCTCGCCCTCCCCCGTCCGTTCGGCACCGCCGTCCCACCACGAGCAGCGTGCACGTTGCTCGTGGTGGGACGCGCCTCGGCGGCCTTCGTAGGCGACGCCGCCGCCGCCGCTGCTGCTCGCTAACGGCGCTCGCCCCAACGGTCTGTTCGAGTCCATTGTGTAGTTGTTTTTTGGGTAAATATTTACGTGAGCTAACCCAAAAAAAACCTCTTGCGGATGATATTGGTCGCGAAAGCCCCACTACCACTGCGTGTTAAACTGGTCTGTTGAAGGCTACCTGGGGGACCTTTGTCTTTGTGTGCGCAGGAGCCCCCGCGTCTCTACCCCCCGATCCCGGCGTCTCAGCGCAAGCCGATCCGTGTCCTCTCCTTGTTCGACGGCATCGCTACAGGCAATCCCCCCCGCACACACGCGCAGATACGCGCGCACACACAGGCACAGACACGCACGCACACACGCACGTGCGCACAAAGATCCCCCCTATACCCTTAACAGACTGTTGGGGCAAGTGCTGTTAGCGAGCAGCACCAATGAAGGTTGGGTGGACAGTACCACGTCCTGGCCACCTTTGCCTCCTGGCGCACCGGCTCGGGGTCACTGTGAAGCATTGGGATGCTTGCCGAGCCAGCGCTCGTCAGCTCGATACTACTGCCACGGTTGCCGCTCCCGCGAGCGCGACTCGTCGATTCGTCCACGCACGTCGGGGCCTGTGCCAGACGCTCACTCTTCCGTCTCATCCGCACACGCTGAGCGTATTTTGATTTCGCACGGGGACCCGGGCCGCTCTCGCGAATGAGGCCCATTCTGTTCTCTTCAGTTCTCACGGCTAAACAAAATAAACTTGCGCACGCACGCACGCGCACACCCGCACGCTCACGCACGCGCACGCAGGGCTTCTGGTGCTCAAGGAGCTGGGCCTCAAGGTGGAGCGCTACGTGGCCTCCGAGGTGTGCGAGGACTCCGTGACGGTGGGGCAGGTGCGGCAGGAGGGCAAGATCACCTACGTGGGCGACGTGCGCAACATCACCCCGCGCAATGTGAGTGCCCGCCCGGACGCTTGCTCCCCCGCTCACCCGTTAACCCGTTCGCTCACTCGCTCGTCAGCTCACTCCCGCTCGCTCGCTCGCTTACCCATCCGGCTGTTCAGTCACTCGCTCACTAGCCCGCCCGCCCGCCCACCCGCTCGCCCGCCCACCTTTTCACTCGCCCGCTCACTAACTCGCTCGCTTGCCCATCCGCCTGTTCACTCACTCATTAGTGGACACACAGGTGTGCTCATACGAGACACATGACACATGTACGTCTATGTTTCTCTGTGCGAGTCGATGGGTCTCTATGCGAGTGTTGCCCAGACCTTCAACTCGCTGTGGCCCTGTCGGCTCACACCCGGGTCCGAACCCCGGATCTCAGCCTCTCCGACACGGCCATTATGAACCCGCGTCTCCCTGCGTTTATGAGCGGAGTTTCCGTGACCTTTGACCGCCCGCTCGCCGTGTGTTTACGAACACGCACGTTTTCTTTTTACGATCGCCCCCGAATTGATTTACGATCGCCCCCCCCCCTCCTTTGCCCCGCCCCTGTGACCCCCTCCCCCCCCGTGACCCCCTGCGACCCCTATGACCCCCTGGGCCAGATTGTCGAGTGGGGGCCGTTTGACCTGGTGATCGGAGGAAGTCCCTGCAACGACCTGTCCATTGTGAACCCCGCCAGGAAGGGTCTCTACGGTGAGGTTATTTGTGGTCTCTCGCTCTCTCTCTCGCTCTCTCTCTTGCTCTCTCTTTCGTTCTCTCTTTCGTTCTCTCTGTCACTCTCCCGTATAGCCTGAATACCCTCATGGCTCCTGCAACCACCACAACCAGCATCACCACCAGCACCTACCACCACCACCACGGTGTTACCGACTGGCTACCACCAAGTAGGTGGGGTTGTTTTTTTTCCACACAGAGACAAAGATCCCCTTAACAGACTGTTGGGGCAAGTGCTGTTAGCGAGTCCCAGTGCAGGCCATCACGGGGTTGGTTGGCCAGCACCACGCCTGGCCACCTTTGTCTCCCGCGTGGCGATGTTTAGGCACCGCGGCACCGGGCAGTCATTCTAGGCCAATTCGACCGAGAGGAGGCCCGGGACCGTTTCGCATAAGCGCCACCGGTGTTCGCCCTGAGCGGGAATCGAACTCGGGTCGCCGAGTTTGCAGCGCAGTGCGCTGACCATTGTGCCACCACTCCCCCATTCTGCACAACGACAAAAGATTCCCCCGTTAAGCTTTCACGGACTCTTGGGGAAAGTCCCGTTAGCGGGTAGCGCCTATGAAGGTCGGCGCGGCATTGTACGCACGCACACACACTTGCGGCCTCCACCTCTCACACACCTCCTCCTCGTCCCCCCCTCTCCCCCCCCCCTCCCCGGCACAGAGGGCACGGGCCGCTTGTTTTTCGAGTACTACCGTCTGCTGCACGAGGCGCGGCCCTCGACGACGGACGAGCGGCCCTTCTTCTGGCTCTTTGAGAACGTCGTGGCCATGGGCGTCAGCGACAAGCGCGACATCTCCCGCTTCCTCAACGTGAGGCAGCCTCACCACGACCCGGACTCATCACACACCACACACACCACACACACTACACACACACTACACACACACTACACACACACTACACACTACACACACACTACACACACACTACACCACACACACACCACACACTACACACACACTACACACACACTACACACACACTACACACACACTACACCACACACACACCACACACTACACACACACTACACACACACCACACACACTACACACACGACACACACACTACACACACACTACACACACATCACACACACAACACACACACTACACACTACACACACTACACACTACCACACACTACACACACACACACTACACACACACTACACACACACTACACACACACACTACACACACACTACACACACACACTACACACACACACTACACACACTACACACACACTACACACACTACACACACTACACACACTACACACACATCTCACACACTACACACACACTACATACACACAGCACACACACACACACTACACACACTACACACGCACACCACACATCACACTACACACACACACCACGCAGACCACACACACACTACACACACTACACACACACTACACACATACACTACACACACAGCACACACACCACACACACGACACACACACCACACACACCACACATACACACTACACACACACTACACACACTACACACATACACACTACACACACACACTACACACACACTACACACACACTACACACACACACTACACACACACCACACCAACCACACACACATCACACACACCACACACACTACACACACACCACACACACACTACACACACACCACACACACACTACACACACTCCACACACACTACACTCACTACACACACACCACACACACCACACACACTTCACACGCACCACACGCGCCACACGCACCACACACGCACTACACACACTACACACACACCATACACATCACACACACCACACACACACCACACACACACTACACACACACCACACACACTACACACACCACACACACTACACACTATACACGCACCACACACACCACACACACCACACACACTACACACACACCACACACACACACACTGCACACACACGAAACATACACCACACACACCACACACACACACCACACACACACCACACACACATCACACACACTACACACACACCACACACACACTACACATACATCACACAAACCACACACACACTACACACACACCATACACACATCACACACCCCACACACACTACACACACACACCACACACACACACACACGACACACACCACACACACACTACACACACACCACACACACTACACACACTCCACACACACCACACACACTACACACACACCACACACACTACACGCACACTACACACACACCACACACACTTCACACACACCACATGCACCACACGCACCACACACGCACTACACACACTACACACACACCACACACATCACACACACCACACACACACCACACACACAACACACATCACACACTACACACACCACACACACCACACACACACACCACACACTACACACACACTACACACACACTAGACACACTACACACACACTACACACACACTAGACACACATCACACACTACACAAACACTACACACACACTACACACACACCACACACATCACACACACTACACACTACACACGCACACCACACGCACTACACACACACCAAACACACTACACACACACCACACACTACACACACACCACACACTACACACACACCACACACACCACACACACTACACACACTACACACACACACCACACACTACACACACACCACACACACCACACACACACCACACACACCACACACACCACACACACACCACACACACCACACACACACCACACACACCACACACACTACACACACACTACACACACACCACACACTACACACACACTACACACACACTAGACACACACCACACACTACACACACACTACACACACGGTACACACACACCACACACTACATACACACTACACACACTACACACACACTAGACACACACCACACACTAAACACACACTACACACACACTACACACACACTACACACTACACACACACTAGACACACACTAGACACACACTACACACACACTACACACACACTAGACACACACCACACACACACCACACACTACACACACACTACACACACTACACACACACTAGACACACTACACACACACTAGACACACACCACACACTACACACACACTACACACACACTACACACACACCACACACTACACACACACTATACACACTACACACACACCATACACTACACACACACTACACACACACCACACACACACCACACACACTACACACACACTACACACGCACTACACATACACCACACACTACACACACACTACACACACTACACACACACCACACACCACACACCACACACGCTACACACACTACACACACTACACACACACTACACACACTACACACACACCACACACCACACACACCACACACACCACACTACACACACACTACACACACTACACACACACTACACACACTACACACACACCACACACACTACACACACACTACACACACACACCACACACTACACACACACTACACACACACTACACACACACCACACACTACACACACACTACACACCTGTGATGTGATACAGCCTCACCACGATCCGGCCTCATCACGACTCGGCCTTACCATGAAATCCCACCTCACCACGCACACACCACCCCATGTGACATGATACAGTCTCATCACGATCCGGCCAACAACACGAACCGCCCTCACCACACACGTGTGACATGAGCCGGGCCACACTACAAATGTTTTATTTTTCCACGGAAAAATCCCGCGTGTAGCCAGCTACCCAGCCAGCTACTCGTGTAGCCAGCTACCCAGTTAGCTACCCGTGTAGTCAGCTACCCAGCCAGCTACTCGTGTAGCTAGCTACCTAGCTAGCTACCCGTGTAGCCAGCTACCCAGCTTGCTACCCGTGTAGCCAGCTACCCAGCTAGCTACCCGTGTAGTCAGCTACCCAGCTAGCTACCCGTGTCGTCAGCTACCCAGCTAGCTACTCGTGTAGCCAGCTACCCAGCTAGCTACCCGTGTAGTCAGCTACCCAGCTAGCTACCCGTGTCGTCAGCTACCCAGCTAGCTACTCGTGTAGCCAGCTACCCAGCTAGCTACCCGTGTAGTCAGCTACCCAGCTAGATACCCGTGTAGTCAGCTACCCAGCTAGCTACTCGTGTAGTCAGCTACCCAGCTAGCTACCCGTGTAGCCAGCTACCCAGCTAGCTACCCGTGTAGTCAGCTACCCAGCTAGCTACTCGTGTAGTCAGCTACCCAGCTATCTATCCGTGTCGCCAGCTACCCAGCTAGCTACCCGTGTCGCCAGCTACCCAGCTAGCTACCCGTGTCGCCAGCTACCCAGCTAGCTACCCGTGTCGCTAGCTATCCAGCTAGCTACTCGTGTAGTCAGCTACCCAGCTATCTATCCGTGTCGCCAGCTACCCAGCTAGCTACCCGTGTCGCCAGCTACCCAGCTAGCTACCCGTGTCGTCAGCTACCCAGCTAGCTACTCGTGCAGCCAGCTACCCAGCTAGCTACTCGTGTAACCAGCTATCCAGATAGCTACCCGTGTAGTCAGCTACCCAGCTAGCTACCCGTGTAGCCAGCTACCCAGCTAGCTACCCGTGTAGCCAGCTACCCAGCTAGCTACCCATGTAGCCAGCTACCCAGCTAGCTACCCGTGTAGTCAGCTACCCAGCTAGCTACCCGTGTAGTCAGCTACCCAGCTAGCTACCCGTGTAGTCAGCTACCCAGCTAGCTACACGTGTAGCCAGCTACCCAGCTAGCTACACGTGTAGTCAGCTACCCAGCTAGCTACCTGTGTAGCCAGCTACCCAGCTAGCTACCCGTGTAGCCAGCTACCCAGCTAGCTACACGTGTAGTCAGCTACCCAGCTAGCTACCCGTGTAGTCAGCTACCCAGCTAGCTACCCGTGTAGTCAGCTACCCAGCTAGCTACACGTGTAGCCAGCTACCCAGCTAGCTACCCGTGTAGCCAGCTACCCAGCTAGCTACCCGTGTAGCCAGCTACCCAGCTAGCTACTCGTGTAGTCAGCTACCCAGCTAGCTACCCGTGTAGTCAGCTACCCAGCTAGCTACCCGTGTAGCCAGCTACCCAGCTAGCTACCCGTGTAGCCAGCTACCCAGCTAGCTACCCGTGTGGCCAGCTACCCAGCTAGCTACCCGTGCGGCCAGCTACCCAGCTAGCTACCCGTGTAGCCAGCTACCCAGCTAGCTACCCGTGTAGCCAGCTACCCAGATAGCTACCCGTGTAGCCAGCTACCCAGCTAGCTACCCGTGTCGTCAGCTACCCAGCTAGCTACTCGTGTAGCCAGCTACCCAGCTAGCTACCCGTGTAGTCAGCTACCCAGCTAGCTACACGTGTAGTCAGCTATCCAGCTAGCTACCCGTGTAGCCAGCTACCCAGCTAGCTACCCGTGTAGTCAGCCACCCAGCTAGCTACTCGTGTAGCCAGCTACCCAGCTAGCTACCCGTGCGGTCAGCTACCCAGCTAGCTACCCGTGTAGCCAGCTACCCAGCTAGCTACTCGTGTAGCCAGCTACCCAGCTAGCTACCCGTGTCGTCAGCTACTACCAACAGAGTTGTTGTTGTTGGCGTGGAAAGGAGCCCAGCCAGCAGCCAGACAGTAAGCAAACTCGAGGCATCGATTTCTTTTTTAATCCTAGTACGATGATATACACTATTGTGTGGTTGCAATGCGGTTGCTGTGCGGTTGCTGTGCAGTTGCTGTGTAGTTGCAATGCGGTTGCTGTGTAGTTGCTGTGCGGTTGCAATGCGGTTGCTATGTAGTTGCTGTGCGGTTGCTGTGCGGTTGCTGTGTAGTTGCAATGCGGTTGCTGTGTAGTTGCCGTGCGGTTGCAATGCGGTTGCTATGTAGTTGCTGTGCGGTTGCTGTGCGGTTGCTGTGTAGTTGCTGAGCGGTTGCTATGCGGTTGCCGTGCGGTTGCCGTGCGGTTGCTGTGCGGTTGCTATGCGGTTGCTATGTAGTTGCTGAGCGGTTGCTGTGCGGTTGCTATGCAGTTGCTGTGCGGTTGCTGAGCGGTTGCGGTGTGGTCGTGTGGTTTCTGTGCGCCACAGTGCAGCCCCACGATGATCGACGCCAAAGAGGTTTCGCCAGCTCACCGCGCACGCTACTTCTGGGGCAACCTGCCTGGCATGAACAGGTGATGAGACGCCTGCATCCAGCAGCGGAGTGATGACGATTATAATGGTGGCGGCGGTCGTGGTGGTGGTCGACTCAGCTTTGGTGCGGTGTAAACATCGCCACCAGGGAGACAAAGGCGGCCGGGCGTGGTGGCGGCCGGGCGTGGTGCCGGCCACCCACCCCCCTTGTGTGCCGTGCCGGCCTTCGTAGGTGCTGCTCGCTAACGGCACTTGCCCTAGCAGTCTGTTAGGGCTATACGGGGGACCTTTGTCTTTTGGTGGTGGCCGCTATGATGGTGATAATGATTATGATGGTGGGAGTAACAATGCTCCCATTAGCACTGTTGGCTACGTACGGTGCGAAAGAAGTTCAACATACATACATGCTGATGGTGATAATGATGTTGCTGATGATGACGATGACGACGATGACGACGATGATGACGATGACGACGATGACGACGATGACGACGATGACGACGATGATGATGACGACGATGACACGATGATGATGACGATGATGACGACGATGATGACGACGATGATGATGACGACGGTGACGACAATGATGATGACGACAATGACGACTATGATGATGACAACTATGATGATGACGACGATGATGATGATGATGACGACGATGATGACGACGATGACGACGATGACGACTATGATGATGATGACAACGATGATGACTATGATGATGACGACTATGACGATGATGATGATGTCTTCTCCGTGTAGACCGCTCTTCCCGTACACGACTGACAAACTGGAGCTACAGGATTGCCTGGAGCACGGCCGCATGGCCAAGGTAAGGACACGGGTGGACAACCACCACACTGGGAGGGTGGACAACCACCACACTGGGAGAGTCAGAGTGAGTGAGAGTCGGGGTGAGTGTGGTCGGTGGTGGCGCAGCATGGTGGTGGTGGTGGTGGCGTGTGCGTGGTGGTGGTGGCGCAGTGTGGTGGTGGTGGCGCAGTGTGGTGGTGGTGGTGGCGCAGTGTGGTGGTGGTGGCGCAGTGTGGTGGTGGTGGTGGCGTGTGCGTGGTGGTGGCGCAGTGTGGTAGTTGTGTGTGCGTGGTGGTGGTGGTGGCGCGTGCGTGGTGGTGGTGGCGGCGTGTGCGTGTGTGCTTGCTCTGGGGAGCGATAGTGTAGCGGTTAGCGCGCTGCGCTGTGAACCTGGCGACCCGGGTTCGATTCTCGCTCACAGCCAACACCAGTGACGATTATCTGAACAGGTCCTGGGCCTCCCCTAGGTCGACTCAACCTCAAATGAGTACCTGGTGCGGTGTGTAAACATCGCAAACTGGGGAGACAAAGGTGGCCGGGCGTGGTGCTGGCCACCCGCACCCTCGTGTTCCGTTCCAGCCTTCATAGGCGCTCGCTATACGGGGAATCTTTGTCTCTGTCTCTCTGCTGCAGTTCAGCAAAGTGCGCACCATCACCACGCGCTCCAACTCCATCAAGCAGGGCAAGGACCAGCACTTCCCCGTGACGATGAACGGCAAGGACGACATCCTGTGGTGCACCGAGATGGAGAGGTGAGCGCCACGCACGCCACTGGCATTCGCCGGCCTGGTCGTGTCCCGGCTGGCAGGAGTGAGTGGCTCTTCTCCTGTGGAGGAGGAGGAGGCTCGTGAACGATGCGACTGGGCCAGTTGGAGGCAGTCGTCCCCCCGGCAACAACGGAGGGCGGAGGAGCGACGCGGTGGGGGAGCGCAGGTGGTGCATCTGCCGGTCGTCTCACCCGGTCAGCCCACGGCAACTTTGATGACATTCAATTCTTACACATCGCCCCCCCCCTTGCCCCCCGCTCCCCCCCCCTCCCCGACCCCTCCCCAGGATCTTTGGTTTCCCCGTGCACTACACCGACGTGTCCAACATGAGCCGCCTGGGTCGCCAGCGCCTGCTGGGCCGCTCCTGGAGCGTCCCCGTCATCCGCCACCTCTTCGCTCCGCTCAAGGATTACTTCGCCTGTACTTAGAGGGGCGGGGGGGGTGGAGGGGAGGGTGCGGGGGGGAGGGGGAGCGGGGGGAGGGGGCGGCGGGTAGCGGCGGCGGTGGTGGTGACGACACACGGCCGGGGTTTGGTCGCCCGTGGTGCTGGCCGCCCACCCACCTCGTGTGCCGGCCTTCGTAGGCGCTACTCGCTAACAGAGCTTGCCCCAACAGTCTGTTAAGGCTACAGAGGGGATCTATGTCTTTGTGGGTGGTGGGGGCGGGGCGGCAGTCACGTCACGTGACCACTTAACCGCACCGCTTGGCTGCTTGAACCGGGAGGTACAGCCTGTGTCGGCCCCCTCCTCCCCCCCCCATTCCCAGCACCACCACAGCCACCGGTCAAACTCAGGGCTCCAACCTTTAGCGTCGGCGCTGGCTCGACCAATCGCAGCGGTCGGTCATCGTGAAGCGTGCGGAGACGGCGTGGCGACGAACCTCGTTTGACCCCTGACCTTGATCCCGCTACCCTCATCGTCATCGCGTTCGCCCGCCCTCGGTGTCCATCTCGGGACAGCGGTGGCGGCGGTGGCGGCGGTGGTGGCGGTGGTGGTGGTGGTGGTGGCGGTGGTGGTGGCGGTGGTGGTGGTGGTGTGGTTTTTATCGTTCTTGTTTAATCCACGCCCCTTGCTGCGTGTCGGCCCCGAGGGGTGGGACTGTGGGACGGGGGGGGGGGGTGTGGCGGATTGAGGATGTGTGTATGTATGTATGTATGTGTACGTACCTTTGTTGAACTTCTTTCTCACCGTACGTAGCCAACTGTGCTAATCGGAGGTACGGGTGAAGGACAACAAGCTACACACAACAAGCAGTTCAAAAGAGATGAGTGGCGGATGAGCCTCACTCACACGCTCGCTCGCCCGTCCCGCCTGCCTGTCCACCGGTCCGGCAGTATGGACATTCTCTCTTCCGTCCGTTCGTCCCTCTGTCCAGACATCCGTCCGTGCTCTCGTCTGGCCGCACGTGTGGCTGGTGAGATTTCGGGTCTGTCCGCGTCGGAGTCCCCAAAACATTTCCGCGCCCGGCACAGCACGTCCGGTATCCCTCCGGCCGTGGCTCCCTCCCCCGTCGCGTGCGATCGGTCGATGACCCATCGCACACCCCTTGTCCGCGCGACTTCCCCTCTGCGGTGGACACATCGAGGCGATGCTCCCACGGTGAAAAGCGATTGCGCAGTTTCATGTCTGTGTCTGTCTCTGTGTCTGTCTCTGTGCTTGTGCCTGTGTCCGTGGCTGTGTGTTTGTAAACGTCACGCGTTTATAAATGTCCACGTGATGACAAGCCACTTTGTTGAGCTGTCATCTGTGGCCAGGTCACTTCTGAAAAATAGCTTCATAGCTTATTGGGCCTTACCTGGTCAAATAAAATTGTTCTAGTTTAGTTTAGTCTGTCTATCTCTGTGTGTTTCTGCTTTTGATGGGCTGTATTTTTCTCAATGTCTGTGTGTGTGTACATGTGTGTGTACATGTGTGTGTACATGTGTGTGTACATGTGTGTGTCTTTGTATGTGTACATCTCACATCTGTGCGTTTCCCAATGCACATATTTTGTATGTGTACGCTAGTGTTGTGATTTTTGCGTGTAATATGGTAATGTGTGTAGGTCTCAATGCGTCTGCGTGTATATCTGGTCTCCTGATCTATGTCACTAATGTTCATTTATGTTTGCACATCTGTGCGTGTCTTTATCTCTCTGTCTTTATATCTTCCTGTGTAGATACGTTCGTGTGTGTCTTACCGCGTTCTTGTCTCACTGTGTCTCTCGTTATCAGTACTTGTATCTCCGTGTATGCCCCTGTGTCTCACTGCGTCTCTGCGTTCTATTTGTGTGTTTGTCTCGGTGTGTCTGTCTCGGTGTGTCTGTCTCGGTGTGTCTGTCTCGGTGCTTCTGTCTCGGTGCTTCTGTCCGTGTTCCCGGTCCGTCCGTGTCTATGATACCCAGCTGCCTTAAACGTGGGCAAAAACTCCCGTTCACATTTTTCTAAACCGTCGAAGTTTCAATTTTAGTCGTCGGTTTGAGTTTAAACCTTTGAGTTTCCCGGCCACGTCCTGCCCCGTGATATTGCCAGTCTCATCCGAGCGTCGTGACGATGCAGATGGTCTCGTTGCAAATTAAGAAGAAATAAAATACCGACGATGAATATCGTCATTAACAAATCAATATAACGTCCTAATTGAAATTCTCTTCCCTTCCCCCACCGGAAGAGAAGGACGGAAATCGTCAACGCCAGAAGTGACGATCGCAGCGAGACTTCACACCGTTGTTTTATTTTTACTTAAATGTCTAATTGGCTACATCCGGAGGGCAGCGTTTTACAAATTACCCCCCCCCCACCCCCGATGAATCTCCGCAGCGATCTCATCGGTAGAGCTGGACGTGTATTACACCGTGTAGGCGGCGTTTGTGCACTTGTCCACAGTTCTGTGGCCGGGGCACAGGATGGCATGAATTTTAAACTCTCACCTCTTTCCCCGTCTTTCGACACCTCATCAGCAGCACGCCGCCAGTAATCGACAGCCCGCTCTGACTCCACTGCTGGATGAAGGCCTCTCCCCACACCTCCGCGGTACTGCCCTTGGTCGCGGGGGGGGTCAGCAGGTTCACCACGGGACACGGGCGGTGGATGGGACTCCCTGTGTGGGGTAAAGTGTGGGGCCTCCCACCACATCATCACCGTGATGTCTGTCCAGCGTGGACAAAGAGAGAAGGTCACACACCGATAGGGCGCCCTTCTGTCTCTCTCGTGGAGGAGGAGGAGGCCTTCCCCTGCTCCACTTGCAGCGGTAGAATGATCAGGACAATTGCAGGCCTGCCCCTTTACCTTAGAGCAGAGGGGCCAATGAAATCGCGTAACGGTGAATGTTTTTGTCCGTTTCTCGGCTGCGATTTCAAAACTCTCGTGAGCGTTTGTCTGCGGCTTCACGATCGGTGTGCTGTGTGTTTTTAGTTCCCCCCCCCCCCTCTACAATTATTATTTTAAAATAATTTTATAGATTCCCTTGACTCTTCAGACCCCGCCCCCCCCCCCGCTCGCATCGCGATTGTGTAACCCGATTATAATCACCAGCATCACTCGCGCGCGTGTGCGCGCACACACACACACAGACCGACGTCTACCTCAATACAACGATAACTCAGTCACTCTTACACGTATGACGCCATCATCGCCATCGTCGCTATCGTCATCACCATGCCCATCGTCATTATCCTCGTCATCGTCACCATCATCACCACCGTCACCATCGTCACCACCGTCCCCATCATCACCACCATCATCACCCTCGCCACCATCACCACCGTCACCATCGTCATTACCCTCGCCACCATCACCACCGTTACCACCATCGCCACCATCGCCACCATCGTCACCTGTGAACTTATCTCCACCATCGCCACCATCGTCACCTGTGAACTTATCTCACCCATACCTGGTGCTCTCTGCACAGCGCGAGGGGTCCCTCCCTGTGCGGTATTGCAATGCGCGGAACGAAAACTGAAAAAAGTGAAACCGGGAGTTGAAAAGTCCACGCGACCGGGGGGGGTGTTGGGAGCACGCGGAGAGAGGGGGACAGAGAGAGGGGTGGAGGGGGGGGGGAAGTGTTGCAGTGTACAGCATGCAAGCAGCCTGGAGAAAAACTGGCCCCAAGCCTAACCACAGTGGCCAATAGTAGGCCAAGTCCCACTCTTACCCCAAACCAAACACACCGCCGATCTCATAACACAATGGTAACCCATGAGCCAACCAGACACTGGCCCCTAACCATAGCCCCGAGCCGGATTGGCCAATCAGACGGCAGCGTTCGCCCAACCCCCCCTCCACCTGTTTGCAAAACAAAGCCGTAACCCCATTTGGGACTTCGTCCATTCCCCTATTTTCAGTTTCTGTTCCGCTTTTCACTTTTGGGTGCTCAGCGCCACGCGCCGGCGAACCGTGGCGGCGTTGCCGGTGCCGAGACTTGTGCCCCCAGCCCCCCCCCCCCCCGCGCGCGCCCCACCCAGGGCAACGTCGCCGGCAATTGTTGCCTAGCCAGTAATCGTCACCAGCAGTGGCAATACGCGAATCATTCTGTTGTTGTTGTTGCTGTGTCCGTTGTGTAAACAAAATCAAAATGGTGAATTCGAGTTTCCCAAACGTGGACGGTTCCCAGTGCTGCCCCCGCGCAGGCGGAGGTCACGTGACCACGGTGATGTCACTTGGGGGGGGGGGGTGCAATAGTTGACGATCCAGACCGTGACCTGAAACAAAACCCATACCTGCCTCCCTCCCTCCCTCAACTCGGGGGAGACACCCCGGGACACACAGCCCGTGTGGGTAGCTGCATGGGAAGAGCTGATTTTGTGCTCTGGGTTGTCTTAAAAAAAGTAGGCCCCTAACCGCGCCCCCCCCCCACCCCGCCTTTCTAGGACCAGGTGTGGGCAGGGATGGGTGAGGGTTTCCAGTGAGTAGGGTAGGGATGGTGAGTAGGGTAGGGATGGTGAGTAGGGTAGGGATGGGTGAGTAGGGTAGGGATTGGTGAGAAGGGTAGGGATGGGTGAGTAGGGCAGGGATGGGTGAGTAGGGTAGGGATGGGTGAGTAGGGTAGGGATGGGTGAGTAGGGTAGGGATGGGTGAGTAGGGTAGGGATGGGTGAGTAGGGTAGGGATGGGTGAGTAGGGTAGGGATGGTGAGTAGGGTAGGGATGGGTGAGTAGGGTAGGGATTGGTGAGTAGGGTAGGGATGGGTGAGTAGGGCAGGGATGGGTGAGTAGGGTAGGGATGGGTGAGTAGGGCAGGGATGGGTGAGTAGGGTAGGGATGGGTGAGTAGGGTAGGGATGGGTGAGTAGGGTAGGGATGGGTGAGTAGGGTAGGGATGGTGAGTAGGGTAGGGATGGGTGAGTAGGGTAGGGATGGTGAGTAGGGTAGGGATGGGTGAGTAGGGTAGGGATGGGTGAGTAGGGTAGGGATGGGTGAGGGTTCCCAGTGAGTAGGGTAGGGATGGGTGAGTAGGGTAGGGATGGGTGAGTA